AATGTCTTCAGGACGCATTAGCCAATCTTCCAAATAAGCTCGCTCACTTCAGTATGAAAATGCAATTCAAGGATTTTTCAAAAAAAAAAAAAAAAACTGTGTGCATTTTGCTTGTAATATTGGCTGGTGTTTATTACATTATGTAAGCCACTGGACTAAGCTGAAGGTATCTCAATAAACCCCAATATTCCCTTTACACAAATAATCTTCCTTTACAGAAATGCAACGGCTAGCCCCAAGAAAATATCACTTTTTCAATAATTTTTGTTTTAGTTATTTTTCAAGCTTAAATGGCTTTTGATCTAGAATGGCCTGATAATATTCATCGAGGGTTTCAGAACGGTGATTTTTAATTTCGATTTGGTCCTCAACAAGCCGATTTTCACAACCCCGTCAGTGTATTAGAAAGTTTTATAGCTCTCTTTTTTTAAGGCCAGCCCAGGCAAAAAAATAATCCTTGGTAGGAGCAGAGATAATTCTGTGAGAGAAAGTGTAAAGGGATACAAACCGCTATCAAATAATTTAATTCGACACGCTTCCTGATCGGAGTATCTCTAAGTGCGGCTGAAATATTTGCCGCAATTACTATAAACGTTTACGTTCATTTGGGAATAGACGATAGCACCCGCAACTCAACTTGTCGTAACGATTCGACCACAACTCAAAGCCAGAAGGGGACTTACCGATGGTTCTACCGCGCAAATAGAGCAACCTTGAAGCTTAGTGCTCTTTCTACTGATTCTTTGCATAAATATATTTGTGAAAAACTCATATAAATTTTATGATTACGATTAATGTATTTCTGGCTCCGCGAGATTCGGTAGATTGCCTGCTTTTAGCCATTGAACTTCGTCATTGTTGCAGATTTGGTGGCAGTGATGGAGCCCTAGAGAATATGCGCGACTTCATCCGTAACTTCGTGAAGAGTCTGGAGCAGGCTGAAAGGGCTGAACCCTTTGTTTTTGACAGGAGCTGCCTTGCTAAATGGTTAAAGGAGATCGCACTTCTAGGCACAAGTGGCCACAGGAACAGCTGGTGCGACGCGCGACGCTGTATCCACGTGGTCTAGCGTTGACATGATATGACCTACATGTAGAAGCTGAGAGCTGGGACGGGGAAATGCACGAACGTTTCACCCAGCGATATATGCCCACGAAAAGAATTGTTCAAACGGATCCGCGGGGGCTGCATTTGATCACGGCACGGCACGGGTCGTCATGCCGACGTGATGTACTATTAGTGTCATCGTAAACAGGCCACTTCCAGCCCGTGGGCCCAAGAGTCGAACACAAGGTTGCACCAGCTCGGTTCCGTCGTCCGATTCGCCGGGATCGCTACGCCTTCGGAGTTTAAAAGTCAACGTCAAATGGGAAAATGTGGGGTTAGCTGGAACCGTACTATATACCGGCGTGGACACAGGTATCGTCTCGACCGGACTTCTGGAACACGCCGACGCATGGTCCCTGATTCAGGCTACGAAACGTCGATCCCCGACAGCAGTCTTTAGCTTTTGCTGGAAAAATAAAGTTCAGAGTCGGAGAAAACCAAGTCGACGACATCGAGTACTTCGATGTTTACGATACGAACCAAGTCGACTTGGTTTACGATGCCATAATTGACTGGTTGCCCAGAAGAAACAATTTAGTTGTAACTAAATACGATATGTCGCAACGTCTACTTAGCCGATTTTGTCCGGTCGTGGCCAAGGAAGGCCAACTACCACATTTGGAGTTTTCGAAGCGGGTAGTTGCAGCCGTCAGGTTACTGCTATTCGCGATTAAGGTAAACTGGGTCTTGAGTGCATCTCTTATGAACAGCTTGCTGATCCTGTGACTGCTAGTTCGGAAGAGGCGTGTGAAATCTTATGCACCAACGTCAAACGGCGACCGGTCGGTTGCCGTTTGACGATGAAAGGGGATATCAGGTTAAACCGTGCAAGTGTGTAGCAGTAATGAGGTTGGAAGCCTTCTATACGATACCTCATCCATCAAGGGGCCGTCCTTATGTCGGCTAAAACCTGAAAAGCGGAGAAGCTATCTGAAACTTGTATTGATTTTGGTGAGCCAGTCACACTACTAGTGACGATCCTCTCCTGTTCGCACATCCGTAGCAAGTCGCATCAGCGCAAAAAAATTATAGCAGATGTTAGATAATGACATGATCAAGCCTTCATCTACTCCGTGACTTCTTCGATCGTTCTGGTAAGGAAGAGCGAAATCGATTCAATTTTGTGTGGATTGCGGCCACAATAGAAGGGTGCAACGAATTAATAGTACCTTCAACATGTTTTCCATTTTAGACCTGATGAATGGCTACTAGCAAATGCCTAAAACACTCGATGACAGGAAGAAAATTTGTACTTTGTATTCAGACGACCTACCTCAACTGAAGTATAAAACTCTTGGCTAATGTCCGACGATGTTTTTAAACGATGCTTATCAACCAGTGTGAGATACGTTCCAGTATCAAATAGCCCTAATCTGTCTTGATGACATCATTGTTTTGTTAGAAATTCGAAAATCATCTGAACCATCTACAAAAAGTTTCCTGTTTTCGGTACCTCCGGTTTACATTGTAAGGCGTCAAACTTTTTCTTTTCTATGAGAGAAATACGTTGGACATAGAATTTTCCCGGCGGGAATTTTTCTGATCTAAGAAGGTTGCGGTCGCAATAGGTTCCATAGCGTCTCCTACTGCCGTTCATCAATTGGCATTCTATGATTGCCAATTCACACGATCGAAGTCCAGACGGACCTGAGCGGCGTGGACCTGACGCCGGTGCTCGTATAGTGACGTGGGTGGTATTGTAGTCTGTGCAAATGGGCGTTTCTCGGTTCAAGAGGCAAAATGGCGCCACAGGGGAGGAGTGTTTGGCCGTTGTCTGGGCGCTAAACAAGTTACGCCCAAATCTGTATAGATACCTACAACAGTAGCGTCAGAATGACTCTATTGAATGACTAAATAGAGTCATTCTGACGCTACTCACAGTCACTGGCATACCGGTAAGAAGTCGTGAAATAAAATAAAAATAAAGATCTACATAGCATCCATACCTGCGTAATGCGGGAGACAAACTCATAGTAGGTTAGTCAGAGACATTGGTTTGTTTTACTGAACGATAGTTCTTAACAGGAAGTCAAAAAACCAAAGCTAACACTTACTGTGATCATGAAATATGTTTCTAGTCCCTGTCTTTACGATCCTGTTTCCATAAATGCTTCGTCAATCAAGCCTTCAAAGAACTGAAGCTACCTGCCACTTGAATCATTGACTTAATAACAAAGCGCGTGACCCACTAAACTGCAAGTACAGTTACGATTATAACATAAAAATAAAATCCTATTTGTTGAAATTGAGATGCATTTAGTGATAGAAGATTCCCTGCTACCCATCTCGTACAGCCTAAGAAGAAGATTTACTTGTTCGATAAATGGGTGCAAGATCGGTTCTTCTGAGCTACCAGCATTAGTGTATTAGAGGAACCAGTAACTCATGAGTTGTTGAAACCAAACATGATAAACCGACTTGCATAGCACTTACAGGACACTGTAATATTACGGTGGAATCTGCTAACCATATACACCCCTTTACGCAAACCAATATGTTATTCAATTCAATATATAATGGCTTGCCAAAAAAATTTTTCGGCGATTATTGCTTCCACAAAAATAAAAAAATTATTGGATTTTGGCATGTTTTAATTCAAGAACATATCTACCTCGGCAGCAGGATAGGATCTATGTCAGAGTTAGGCCAAACAAAACTAATCTGTCTTGGATTATTGGTGAAGAGGCGACCAGTTGGATATTAAATTTAATACTAAAAATGCTTAAGTATATGCAGACGTTATAGATAGGAAATTATATCTATAACTAGTTTATCAGAAGTACAACTGGATGGAAGAAACTTAAATAAAAGGCCTAGCTTTGTCCACTTCAAATAAGGCACTCTAAAAGAAGTTGCAAAATTGTTGTCTAAGCGTACTTGGCGCAGAGAGCTAAAAATTTGGACGGAAGCCTTTCCGAAGTTTCAACCCGCTAACGTACACTTCGCGGCCTTTCACCCATTCTTATATTCAATCTGGGCTTCTAAAACTTTCGTCCAGAAAAAAAAAATACTTTTTTGAAGTAAAAGTCTTAGTCATTGGATAACGTAAAAGAAATTGCCAAAGCCAGTCACCGGCACTTTTGGCATCGAAATAAAAACACTGATATTTGGGACGGACTACTTTAATAAAGGCAAATATTACAAATTTAAAAGGATATTATCCACGGATTATGTAAACGATGCATTTGAATTATTAAACAATTTAATTAAAATTAAATAAGAACTTCTGAGACTATTTACACCACTCTAGTCTGTTGCATTCATACGATTGCCTATAACTAAACTATATAATTGAAACTGACTCATAGTCATCATAGAATTCTATGAAATACTTAACAACGATTGACTAAAATCTTTGGGGCATCTTGTCTTTCAACTTCACTAGCGTTCATAGCCACTCACATATAGCTTTTGTACCTGTTTAACTTTTACTGGGCGGCCATTTGTTGTATTATCAGCCTTCTTGTTAGTTGAGCAACAGAAAATATATCATCAAAGCTATCATTGGATGGGGTACTAGTTTTGTCTTTTGTTATCCATATTTTATTCAAGCAAAATTATTTAAGAATTTATAAAATGATTAGAGATCACAATTTAGGTTCTACAATTTTCATTTTTAAACCACATTTATTTGTTAATACTCGTAATATGGTCAACAGGCCTTCGTAGATCCAAGGTCCCGTGGCTCAGCAACTAGTGTTGAACCGGCGTGTTTTTATCTGAGCGTGAGCTGGCTACTAGCTAAAACCAACCATATAGGCAGGAATTCAATGAAAGAGCAATGGAAGTGGCTTGCTCTTTTGAGGAAACTTTGAAGGAAAAACAGATCTTCTTTGATGGAGTCTACTACTCAACCAGATTGCTATAATGTCGGCAATAAAAATATGGGTAAGTCCGTTTTAAGAATATATCTTTATTTACGCTCATATGTTAATTCAGAAATAAACAGGTATACCTATGTATGAAAATTTCATTATCAAAAATGTAATAATTAATAGTTTGTTGATCGGAAAAAAAATGTGCTATGTGCGAAAACTACGAGTAAGTATCTAGTCCTTGACATTGGCTTAGATCACCTACGTACTATAAGCAAACAATTACGTTATGAGAGCCATCGGAGCACCAGCTTTGTGTTTACCAAATGTTGCAGTCAAATAAAGGACTGATTTTTATGCCAACTCTTTAAAATGCATCTCTATATAATCACCTTTTTTTTTTTTATAACCTGCACGTCGTAGGAGTTTAGGGAGTATAAGCTAACAAGCTGAAACGGGAACAGTACATAAAACGTCCGGCATGGGATACTTAAACATAATATCGTATGATGTTATGTTTAAGTATTTCGAATTTTATACCGATCATAGATTTTGGTGTGTACTTATTTTTAACGATAGTGAACATTAGCCCACATTGGCTCTACACATATTTGAACCTTGTTCTGTGTTCTCATTTAATGTTCATTTGGTCGAAGTCAGTACCCCCAAATCACCGGTTATAATTAATTCCAGTTTTTTTACACATTCTGTTTGAAGGCGGTGCTGCCTGACGAGCTCTCATGTGCAGCACTTAGGTTCACAGTAATCGTCTCAACCTGGAACAACCTCTTCCTTATATCAATCGAACATATTTATATATAAATCTTTTAAACAGTATATAAACCAGTGTATTCTACTACTACTACTAAAACTGTGTATATTATGTTATAAGTAATTAATATTCGTAGTAACAACAACATTCGTACTAACATGATATTAACATAACCGACTACATTTTTCCTGCGCAGTTTGTGAATCAGGTTGCAAAAATAAAAACAAAATATCTAACACTTAAGAAATAAATAGGTGAAGCGATCCCCGTAGAGCCACTATTTATAAAACAAGTTTTTAAGATGGGCATTGCCGAGGAGCGTAACGCAAAACCCTCTGGAGAGAGCGTTGAAGACTAACCTGAGGGGTTTTTTTTTCAACTTATTATCAATTATATTATAATTTTCATATCATTGGCATACACCTATATACAACGTTTTTACAAAAAGTCACCTAAATCACACAACCTTTACATATATCAATTTTTCTAGAATAAGCGTCTTAACCACGGGAACGACACGAATCCAACTTCAATTCGGGTTGCGTGATACTTAGGAGACCGTTAGAAGTCACGTGATGGCAGTAAAAATAACACTCCAGAAACAGGTTGTTTGAGGCAATCTAGGACACAGGTGGAACTTAACACGGTCCAAGATTGCGAGCTAATCACGCTCAGCGATAGTTGGTGAAGAATGAGCACGTGGCAAATCGGTCGTAGGTCCGTTATGGCTGCGTAGAGCTAACAAAAGATTGCTTCCCGGTTGCGGGAATACATTTGGAACCTGGCGTTTATTTCCCAGCTGGTTTACCTGAAAATGATTCTTTACAATTAGGTTAAATTATGCGCCTTGCAGCACACATTCAGCGGTTAATTCGAAGAAATCTTAACGTTAGCTAGCAAAGTTTATCGATACATATATCGCTTAGTACGGCCGCCCAAACGTCTAATTTGATTGTAATTGAACTCCCGCACACATTTGCCGTCCCAGTTCTAAATGCTACAGGCTGTACCACCTATGTATATGTCGAATATCTAATATACGTCGTCGCGGTTTTCTATAACTCACCATTTCGGTGAGCACCGGTTCATATAGACGAACTTGCATTAAGATAATGATAATAAAAATAATCTAAGATCCTTGGGTCCTTCCAGTAGTCAGGCGTTTACGGAATGCAAATTTTTAACAAAGACTGGCTGATCAGCTTTTCCTAATCCTCTTTCGGCTGACCTATGTGGGCACAATCTTCAACCTAGAAAGCTCACAAGCGTTATTAATCGTGTTAGCACGTACTTCCAGTCGATATATTAGTACATGCATCGGCATCGTTTGAGACGTAAGTGCGTTCACTGTATTCCTGTTATTAATTGTATATCATATATAGGATAGAGTACGGTAAAAATCGCAATCTGTCAGCAAGCTTATCCACTGCCGCAGTTAGCTTTTAAGACTGTCTAAAGCAAAGGAAAAACTTTTTTTCTAAACATTTTTTAGCAAAAAAATTGTCACGCTTTTTTAGGTTAACAATTTTCGACTATTTTGAACCATTTTAGTACTTCTAGCAAATACTTAGCATAACTATCTTCCTATAATAATTACTAATGCCATTCCCATGGTTAAGTAAAAAGCGATAATAAATATTTATTGAAACATTCATATCGAAGGATTCATTCGTTTCGAAGGATTTTACGAAAATTTACGAAAAAATCAATTACCGAAAGGAATAATTTTTCTCATGAAACAATCTATTTATTTTTATAAGACCGCACTTTTATATGTATTGCTACCTTTTTTTGGCCAAAAGTAGGAACGAATATGGAATTTGAACGTAGTAGGGGGTTTTTAACAAACTAAGATAATTATGATAAAATATAAGCTTACCAATAACCAATAAACCAATAACCATAATTGGCACTGCTTTCCATGCAAGGAAGTATCGTTACTTAAACAGGGCCCATGTATTTAAGTTAAGCAATGCAATAACCACTTAGAAACTGGATTTGGTTGTTGGAAAGTTGCTGTCTAGGTGTAATTGTTGAGCCTTACTTTCATGAAAAGCACTCACTTGTGGCATGGTGGCAGTAACCTACCATACTGAGAAACCGCTTCAGGGCTGTCTCGCACCAGGGGATGCCTTCGCGTCTTTTTCCATGAAAGTGAGGCTTAAAAATGACGCCTAGACAGCAAATTTTTTCATTTTGATTTGTTATACTAGGATTTTACATGCCAGTCAAAGGCGATAGCTGCTGTTCAAATATAAAATCGACCAGTTTTTTTTAAATATTCTATCTTTACGAGAAACATTGAATAGGACGAGCCCGGTAATGGCTTTGCGATATAAACATCCTTGATAAAAGTGGTTGTTACGGTTGTCTAACTTGATACTAAACCCGAATGAAGTGGCGACACTCTACGTAAATAACGTTGTGTAATCTTTGCCATTTACCAATTGAGGGCAGTGATAATGTAATTATAAGTGTGTTTCAAGCATGTCAAAAACACATCTCGCAGCATTTTTCCTGTTTAGAACTCGATCCGCAAAAAGATCAGTCCAAAGGCTGAGTGGTATTTTACGTATAGTAAGCAATACATAAATATATATTTTATGTTAATTCGTCTTCACATAATAAAAACAAAAATTATGCTAACATATTTACTACAGAACAATTTTGTGCCCATATTTTTTAACAGAGTGTTATAAAGTTAAGATTTTGGTTTTTACTAAAATGGACTGGAAGTTCATATCAATTAAATGTCACGAATATAAAAAAAAGTTACGCCAATTCGACTCTATTGTTTGGCGTATCTAGTGCACTGAGTCTAACACTAATTTTTAGCTAAGACGGTTTACAAGGTTGTAATTCTAAATGAGGAATGTCCTAATATTCGTTGCTTTTGATCACAGCTTATGGCATTTGGAAGAATGACAAACAAAGTTAGGAATTATTTAGTTTGCTTCTACCACAAGACACCAAGCTACTGACCTACACTTATCTTATCACTCTTTTTTTTTAATTTGAGGATACCTTCATAAATTATAACGCTAAGTGTGGAATGCTATGCTATAATGTTTGTATAGGTCTTTAATGTCTCTGTGTGTGGAGAAAACAACCAAATCCAAATTGTTTATATCTTTTTTAAACCAAAACGGGGCTAGATGTTTCCGATAACAGCGTGAAACGTAATATTACTAAGTCACGCCAAATTTAAGGACAACTTTCAACTAGACGTAGTAAAGTTTAAAATTCCTAGCTCAGTAATAAAATCTCTGCAAGATTTCAACTAGTCGTGAGCAAATCCTCGACGACAAAAAACAATTAGTGTTCGATATAATTAGTCGACCATACATCCAATGCTATTTGTCGTAGTAATATTGGACATCGGGCAATTCTAAAAATGCACGATAACTCCATATAATATCAGCGTTTTTTCATAAACATTAAACGATTATAAAAAACCGACTACTATAGCCTTTAATAACGTTCACTTTTCTACATCGCTAGCAATAATTCTAGTGTATACTACTTACTTTCTCCGGCCAGTCGCAAACCCTCTCTGCAAGGTTGAACACAAGTCCGGAAGGACAGGGCATATGGTGTCGGACCTAATGTGCGAGAACCAAGAGAATCAATGGTGATAAATTTATTGAGAACTGCTTACTGTAATTGCCATTCTAACTTTTTTATCTAATGATACATTGATTACTTTTCGTGATCTGATCCGTTGGACAAAATAAAAACTCATTGAGCTCATTAATCACGCTGTTATAATCACGCTGTTAATCACGCATCTAATGCTTATCTTGTGAGGGGATAAGTCCTTGAAGTTGGTTAAGCCTTAGTGTTCACTATAGTGTTTACGATATCTCAGCATAAGACTGACTTGAGACCAACTTTTACAAAGACCCATTTGATGTTGGCTTTTTTTTATAATTGGCATGACCCAGGAGAAAGTCGAGCCTATATGCTAGCTTTTGGAGTAACGTTTTCGATATACATCCGGAACTGTGCCAGACAATCGATCAGAGAGGGTACGTGTGTATTCCTAATCACCTTTACTGGAAATTAAGTAAGGTAAAGTTTCTCTGAGAATGTTTGCAGCCGTAAACTTTTTAAGTAATCGTCATGCTGAAAAATCAGAGCTATTTTAGATTTTTTCAGCATTGCAATAATTTTTACCTACAACCTACATATCTAAGTCACACCAAAATCTATTTACCTATCTACCAGTAGGGGGTTCGATAATGTGCTCAGTTGTCTGGCGAAATATTTACGTCTAGTGCGAACTTTTTCCTTATGTTATAAATGCAGGATGTGGATTCTTTCAAGTTTTTTTTTTGTTATTATTGGAATAACGTTTGTCGATGCACATAAATGGTGTAGTTTACGTCGTAGACGAAACAGTGTCATTATGAAAGGAAGAAAAAGACTTCGTGAATGACCGATTATTTATTTAGAAACAGTCTTCTACCGGACAAACAGGTCCTGGGGACCAAGGATCAGTCGTCAAGTTGCAAGCCTTCATCGATTCTCTATGTTCGTCAAGTATTTTGACAAAGAAGACAGCGCTGCAGCTTACGTATATTTCGGGACCACTGCATTTTGAAGTTTAAAGACAAAATAGAACAGAAAAATATCTTTATCAACACGAATATAGAAAAGAGAGGAATTCAACAGCTATGTTGACAAAAACAGACATGTTACATCAATCGGTAAGAAAATACAGATTCAACAGTATCTGGCGTAATTTTGTCATTATAAATCACTTTTTCCAGGTATACTTTATCAATTATTTGTATATTAAGCCAGTAGTATATTTTGGTGCTATGAAATATCTGCCGTGTGAATATTTTTTAATGTCGAATTTTAGGGAAGGACTAACATGGCGCTACTATCTGCCCGCGTGGACAGTCTAACGCACGGGGGGAACGATTTTACATATGAGGGCCTCAGCGCAGTCCCTAACGTCCAGTAATACAGTTTGAGAACACCAGGCAACGTCACAACAAGATAACACCCGTCAAAGAGGATAGCCTTTGCTTAGTTGGAATGGATGTCTAAATGTCAAGCTACTGAACGAAGCAAACGTTTTTCAATGATGTCATCATCATATTTACCTCAAAATCATACCTGTCAAACAAAGAATGTCAAACAAATCAGCGTATGGTTTCTTTGTTTCGAGCTTTCTTAACAATCCGGAGACCTAAGTTCAAACCGCGTGCCTTGCACTTTGTCTTCTACCTCTTCGGCAAGTTAATTTCCTAAATTTTCGACAAGCTATGACGTGCCTGCGAACATGAAACGTGAAGTTGGATGGACGTGGTCTGTTTTGCTACGCTTCAACAGATCAGGGTAAGGCTACATAAAAAAGAAGCGACTGAAAGCTGATGAGGTTGTCGAAGTGCTTTCACTGTTTGCAATGACTTTCGTAATGTAGCCCCATGCCTCAAGCTACCACATAGTCGTCAATGGTTCTGATGATGACACATACATCACCGTAAGGGAACCACGATGAAGATGTCTGAACGTTAAGCTTGAGTATGCTGTATAAAAAACATGTTTCTTTTATGAGGCTCCCACACAAAAGCGTAAACAGTCAGCCTTAACCACAACATATAAACAAAATATTTATGAATATCGAAGTATCTGGCTTATTGGATAATGTCGCTCAAAGTTCAGATTTGCGGTTTTAAGGACACTGAAATAAGCATAAATATGCAACGTGAAAAGTTTCAGGCGAGGTTAGATTCTTTGTATTTCACTGAAGACCGACACGCACGATTCTGAACTGACCGTTACAAAATATCTTAAGCAGACCGTCTAGAAATAGCACTTGTTGCAATGGGTCACGACGATCGGGGAAAACCATATCACAGTAAAAAGTTAACCCACCGATATATTGCATATATTTTACTTGGTCCGGCTTGATCGAAGGTGAGAAATGCTTTTTCCCCTTAATATTATTCGTTTTATTTCTGTTTTCGTTCAAAATATTTTCGACGCATAATCGTGTACGACCATATATGGGTCTTAGATGAATACCTGAAGCTTTAACTTGTTTTAAATACAGATGTCTACCAAATAAGTTTAGTGAAAATAATTTTTATTAGACGCACATAGGGCATCATTGCGTTGTGAATGCTTTTCAGGTCATCAAGCACCAAACGATGCTCCAGGCCCAAACAAAATATGCAAAGAAAACTAAAGTTTTCGGGTGCACAAAACATCGGACATGTTGACCACCAATCGATTCAAGAATTTAAGCGGGATAGCTGTCTATTATAGTAAGTTGCATCTTCGAATCAACCTATTTGAGAACTATTGAGAAGTTCACCCGCCTATGTGCTACCATCGAAAAGGAAATGGCCGTTGTTTTCTCTATAGCAATATGACTTGAGAGCAAACGTTGTGCAAGCCTACAGAAACGTAGATAGGCCAAAAACATTTTGTCTTTAGAGAGTCGAGCGTAACAGCTGGGCGTCGGACATTTAAACAGTTCCAGCAGGGGTTCTCTGATCTCAAGACGTTTGAGAAATTCGACAAAGATCCGCTTATGGCAAGACAGTTTATTCGTTACGTTCTGTAGAGCTCTCGTTCTATTCAACGTTTGTTGTAAAATAATTTAGCGTTATTAATCTAAAGACTAAAAGGCTCCTTACGCCGTTTTCGATCGAAGTTTCTTGTAGGGATTACTCGAGACCTTGATGGAAAGGAGCCAGAAAATCGACTTAAGACGGAACCAAGTAAGGTATAGCCAGGAAATGGTGTTCGTGGGCAACTAATATGTCAGTATTGTTAAAGTAAAATAGCTAACGTTGGTCCGATTTACAAGAAGGAGACAAATACTGATGGAAGGCCATCCATTGTCAGGGGTGAGATCTAAATCACTTTTCCTCTATTAACCCATAGAACCAGCTAACCAACTGTTTCGATTCCCAAAAGGACCAAACGGTTCGCCCGCTTATTGTCACCAGGCGATAGATTTATTCCAGCTGACCTGGCCCAGTTTTAACCTACCGAGGTGATATTATCGTCAGCTTAAGCAACATCCAGGACTATTTGGAAACGGTAGACGGTACGGAAACGATTCATGAAAGCGAATTGTTCAACAATGGCGTAGTCACGGTAAGTGTCTTTTGCTGACAAAAAGTCATGCTTTCAAATACGATTGAAAAGGGTCCAGAATAGAATATGTCGATTCAAAAACACCATTGAAGTTAAAGCACTTCTGTACTGATCCAATTATACGGATCATTTATTCCAAAGGAATCGGAGGTGCGACTGTGCTGAAGACAAATAAAAAAAAATCCGGAAAGACAATCAGTGCTAGAAACAAAGGTTTTGCTTTTTGGATTTCTCGAACGCTCTTCTAGGAATTCGATTATGGCTAAAAGCAACTTGAAGCGTTTTGACGTCCACTGACACATTGATGAACCAAAAGAATCCAAAACTGTCATCATGACTTCGTAGCGGTCCAGTATTGGTACAAATATCACTGAGGTAGGTCGAAACTGTCCGCAATGGGAAGCTCATCCTGACGACAGGTTTACGCGTGAGAACACCTCGCGAACATTTGAAAAAGAATTATGCAGATCCTTAAAAATGTATTTATTAATTATAGTGGATGCTTTTACAATATAACTTGATGAAAACCGTCTGAGAAACTTTAAGCCCGATCATTGCTACTTTTAGAACCGAAGTTCTTAAAAGGACCGCCAGGTGTGTTTTGGTAACTCAGCGAAGTAACACTTGATAAGACCTTATTCTGACTGAATGATTTATTATGTTGATTATTAGAATTTGAACATTATGAATATAATAATAATAATATAATTTTACGTAGCTATCCGGCTAGGCGTACGAAAGTTTTGAAAGGTTAGTATTAAGAACAAGCATTTAAAGGTCGACGTTCCTTTTTCAAAACTATTAGATAGATAATATTCTGTAATAGTAGTAGAATGCGTGTAGGATTTTATCGAACACCGCGTGATCCAGAGGCCACTATCAGAACCTTGAAAAACGCTTATCTTTTTGAGGTAAATATCGCACCAGCAAATAGCCTCTGATAAACTAAACTTAAGAGAAAAGTAAAGAGTTGACAGATCCAGCTGTTCAGGAAAAGGGTCGAAGGAGAACATTTACCTTTCCTTGGCAGAGATAGTACTTTGTACAGTCCTTCTTATCGACATGGTACGAAATCGGCGTATCCTCATCTTCGCAGACTACCTCAAACGGATCTGGAAAACGATTCCGAAAAGTAAGGCACTCTATTATAATGCAAATAACCGGCAGCTTTTTGACCACAAAGTAGTAATGTAATGTAATGTAATCATCCATCAATAAAATAAAATAAAAATGTGCCATCATTAATATACAATAGTTTCTTGACAACGGGTGAATATCTTCGAGATCGCATTTTTATCTTCTACAAGCGTTTAGTTGACGGATCTGCAAAACTGATAGAAGGAATTTGAATACCTAGTCTGAAAGTGACTTGACTAGAACTTCCACCCAAACTTAGGTTTGTGGAAAAGCCGTGAAATGAACGGTTATATATTATGGGAAATGTCGAGGAGCTCGAAGTTCATAGTCTGGTTTGAAAGTAGGTGGGGTGTACAGTGGGGGGTGTACGGTACAGCTGGGGTCGAAAGTTAACACAAACTAATAATACTTTCGCATGGTATAATACATTTCAGATGTTGGTTATTACATTAAATTACGAAACTTAATATGGTCATAGTGGACCATCTAAACTATGTGTATAGGCTACGCTAGCTAAATCTGAATTGTCTTTTATTATAATGAATAAAATCAAAGGAATGCAAAATTAATGAAAAAAGTACAACAATACACACATCTTCAATGGACGAAAGACCTTCATAAAAAAGACAAACATGACTTTAGGACCGGAACACATAGAAAAATTATCTTAAGAAACTGACACTTATTTGAATTGTTAATCGGAGATGCTTTTAACGGAATATTCGTAAAAAAAAAAAGTTCCAGAATTGTCCTTTTAAGTGATATGCTAGTCAAAATTCGAAATTTAGCTGTCTCGTTTTGTATAGCTACATTATAAGCCGTAACCCTTATACCTAAACTCATCATATAGCTGTATGACATATGTGAAGTACCACCATTCGGTCCTAGATTTCCATAATTGATAGAAGAGGCAGTTTCTAAGCCCTGAACCGTGTAGCCTTTGAGCTCGTCGCGCACTGCTGACAGCAAAGGGTAGGGCTCTCCTGTGCATGTTCCACGAAAATCGTCTAGATCTACTGACCTACAATATTGGTTTTAACACAAGCAATTTTTTTAGAGAAATCTAAAAAAGTAGAATTTACATATATCCATACCACTATGATCGATTTGATTATTTCTGTCGCTTTTGGTAGTATAAAACTAACTTGAATCTGTCAAAAAGTTACTAAATTCACATAGGCAGCATTTTGCATAATGGTAGAATAACCTTTGTAAAGACCTAGGAATAATTAATATTAAATTTACTACGAACCCCTTCATTTTCTCATAAAGTGGTAGCAGTATGATGTAATTAATGAATATATAAGTACCACATTTTTTTTGCCAATTTCTATCTCAAATTGTGTAGCACATATAAACAAGTAAAGACATCTCACTAACCAGATCATCACCCCCGAGTATCCATTTTCACGCAGCCACTGAACTTTCATCCGAAGCGAGCGCTGATCATCGAAGCCGACCCATTGATCGTCCTTGAACGCATAGGGAACCTGCACATACGATACAAAAATTGTGACAGCATCTTGATTTCGTACTTATTTCGACACCAGACCGTTTCGTGGCTACCTGTTATAGTGATTCGTTTAACTTCGGAGTCATTTTTTACGGGTAGGATCAAGTATATTTTACTTAAGGAATTAGTAAATTTTTAGTTGGGAAAAAATTCGGTCTGCAGTTAATTTAAAGATCCTTTCAAGTAAAAACCTATCTAGTTCCCGAAACTGGAACTGCATTTCTGATTGTAAGGCTACTGTATTTAGAACTGCCATCCTGCTACTGCCTTTTTACTCTGTATATCTGTTGTATGTTGTTTATCAGCGATTGTCGTATTGAGCTTCGGCTAAACTAGCTATAATATTTAAATCCTTAATTTATATCGTTGGCTGATATAAATATTTTCCGTCCACGCCGATATACCAAAATATACCTGCTGTTCATTATCCCATACTAAAGTAGCTCCAGCCCTGAGCATATCACAGACTTCATAGAATGCCAAGAAACCAGATTCCTGGGTGAAGTTACCAGGCGAACCACCAGATACGGCAGGTGCGCCCACGTCAGTCAACGTTTCGTTAGCGAGCGTGAAAGTTCTTCCGTAAGTTGGGAAGCCAATCACAAGTTTTTCTTTTGAAACACCTTTTCGAGCCCATTCAGCGGCGCTGAAGTCCTAGATAAGAAAAAAAAATATTTAAAAACGTAGGTTAACGACACTTTCACTCGTGCTAAAGGAAACCATGAAACCTGCTAGTTAAAAATAAGTTAACATGCCATACACAACTAGATATATCGCATGCAGGTAAACGCACTTTTAAGTAAGAGAGTTGTATCTAAGCAGATTTTTATACTGGTTGGTTAATAAAAATAGATTTCTCATAACGTCGGGATTTTGTAAAAAATGCTTACGACTCAAAGGTGTGAGTACCCTCCTTTAACTATTAAAATTATGGCAGACATCAAGGATTATAATAGCAATGATCTCAGCGTTCGTATTTTGCGAGTTTAAACCCATTCAATCTTAGTTGTTTTGATAAATTAAATAAGAGGGTAACTGGTTTCGATCTAATACAGGCACCGAGGTGATGCTAATCAAGGATAGTGATGCTCATGCCGACCGTATAGCTAAGGAGGAGCCTGCAAAACGCTTGCTTTGATGTTTCACGATTATCTTTACACGCTTAGTTAAAAAAAAATAAGCTTCATTCACACTTCCCGTATTTATATACTGTTCCTTATTCTATTCCCTGGCCACTGTTTTCTTCCAGGATTGCATGGGTATATCAGGGTGGTTTTCATCTGGGGACCTCAAAGTACATCATTTCGTGAAGCCCATAAACTATATATATAGCTGACGGGCTGCACGAAATACGAATATAAGAAATATGTAAAATATTCTGAATAATTTGTACTTACGACAGTAAGCTTTTTCTGGTAATTGGACGCAGACAGCAGCGGAAAGAGCGGAGAATGATGCCCAACCTATTAAGCCATAAAGCAGCAAAAGCACACGTCGTGTCGGTTACCGGGGTACGTAGAACTTGGACAATATTGGTCAGAAGTAGAAAAAAAAGGCGATATCGTAATCAAAACGTAAACATAAATAGCGTATAAAAAATATTCGTTGTTTTCAAATAGATGTTGAATTTCTATCGAGGTTTGTGGTTTTGGTAATTTAAATAGCGTCAGGCAGACTGTAATGTATTGGTTCGCTCCCTATTTCACGCTATTGTGTCTTCTGCTAGACTACAAGTTAACTTACCTGACGCTCCCAGTCTCCATGAAAATCGTATGTCATCACATTAAACCAGTCAACGTGCTTATTTAGCTCTAACACATCGTAACTGAAAGCGAGATTTAACAAAAACATGTGGTTATAATGAGCCTACTCACAGCCCTCGATCGGATCACAAATATGGTCTAAGCATAGATCAAGCCTGCTTCGACTAAGTAAGTCGCATACTGGGCGTAATATTGGACATACCTTTTTTAGGTATATTGCATTCTAAATGGTTCACAACGGGTTTTCCTCTTTAGCCTAAAAGGTTCCCAGTACAAAGAGGCTGAGTGAAGCTCTTTCTGTCTATAAAATAATAATATCTACTACCTGACCTGCTTTTGTTGTTTAGTGAAGAATCAGCTGAAACGCGCAGCATGCGTAAAAGCCCAGATGGGAGAATCGTATTAGAAACTGTAACGTACTAAATCACCTTCCTTTTGATAGGAAAACAATTACCATGCTATGTCATGACCTCTAGCTTGACTGTTATGAGATAAAAACATGTTTTAAAAGCTACGAATAACGGCAGGTACCAGAAGCAATGTAAAAACGGTTATGACTATAGAGCACATACCCGGCTGCGAGAGCTTCAAACGACGCAGGTACCGCAAGCGAGAGTGACAATCGTGGTTTTTTTGCGGACAGCGCTTCGCCGTCAAATGCCTGTCGAAGGTCTAAAACATAAAGATCTTTCGATCAGCCCAAAAGAACATTCCGTTGAACAAGATTGTTGCCCGTTCAATAACGGGCAACAATCTTGAAAGCAGAAGTCATAATCAAGATTTGCCACCATAACCTACGGCAGGTCCATAAAATTCAAATAGGACGTTCTCTTCCTAAGCGTGTTCTTACATACGCATTTCTTTCGCTAAAAATCGTTGGCTATTTTCTCAAGCGTTTTGCATTGATGGAACGCCGTCTTCGAAGACTATTCATACTAGTTCTATTTTGTCAATTAAATGTAATTTCGAGTTCTATTAAAACTATGGGTTACTTATATTTGCACCTCTCTCTCTCGCTATATATATATATATATATATATATATATATATATATATATATATATATACGTATATGTATACAAACAAAGGCTATCCATTTATCGCGTTTTAATGTTTATTGTATCTGATTGAAGTTGTTTTGCTTAGCTTTATCGAATCGTTGAGAATCGTAGCAATTTTCACTACTTCAAATTGTACTTCACACTCCCTCTATCGTCTTTTAGCAAAACTATTCGAATTACTAGCCGTGACGCAATTAGTAGTTTCTATCAGAGGAAACCCTAATAGACTGTAAATAGTTTAAATGCCATCTAATTAGAGACTGCGCGTTTGGCTAGCGCAGCCCCTAAACGAAATTTTGGGAAAATACACGGTATGACGCACACGACGTGGCCCCCTGATACATTTAGCAGTGTAAAGCGAGTGGTTTCTGCCTGGATGGATGAATGAATGAAACGTGGATTAAATTTACAAGGTCACCTGAACTGTTACCAGGATAGAAATAAAAAATGGAAACTATCCTATAAAACGCTTTGCTTTTAATAAAACTATGGTCGGATAATTTCGTTTTGCTAATCATTCTTTCATATGCGAACTCGCTCCATTTTCACCTAAATCTTGGTATGATTTTATTTTCTCGAAATGCCAAAATTATAAAATTCGAAAAAGTAATTTAGGGAAAAAAGGGTGGAACTCATGGTGCTTTGTTGAGTCATTGCTTACAAGTGGCATTTGGCAGGTTTGTTTGCTTGCTGTTTAACAAAATCAAAGGTTCAATTATCTAGTTAGGAGACTGGCTGGGCCATTAGGTAAAATGTTGCCCTGGCTGAGTTCCCGAATTCGTTGGCAGAAATTAGGACATTGCCAGTGATCCTAAACGATAGTTGATTTGAAGTCTCTTGGAGCAACTTAATTACAGTGCGTTCTAGTATTTCACAAACAAAGGCCGAAAGCGAGAGTGGACTTCAAGATGAGACTTTTCAATGCCGTCTTCAATATATGAAGTTGCAAAATGCTTTGGGTACCAACCAGATGCCTGCAGGCTGCACGGGCTTCCACTGGTGCTCCAACGCTCCTGGAGCTCCTGGATTTAGGAAAGTCTTTTGTATATATCATCACCAGATCTGATGACGTGATAGATTTAGTGTGGGTCGGAAGAAGAAAAGGTTTACGTTTCCAAGCGCTTACAACTATTAAAAATATATGTTAACAGATTACGTGAAAAAAACCTCAATTTCAAGTTGCCGAATGGTAACCAGATATACGAAATTCAATATGGCTTTCGTTCCTAATAAAAGCCCGTCAAAATATAATCAGTCGGAAATGCGTAGATTTTTTTTAAAGAATAAAAACAGCACATGTATAGTGTGCTGAATATACACAGAGATGGAAAAAAACGGTAGGAACAATTGCTTATTTGTACCCTTAACGAGAGCGGACAGTTTCTCCTTGTCATCAGCTCCTCGAGGGAACTCCCAATCAATATCCAATCCGTCAAAGTTTTTCTCGCGAAGGAAATCGATCACGTTAAAAACGAACAGGTTTTGTCTGAAAATAAATGTAAAACATACTAAATGTTATTGGGTTTACAAAATATCATATAAGTTCACTCGTCGCTTTACAAACACCTTTCACTGAATATTCTGTGCGGTGTTATGTCCGAGCGAGAAGCAATGTGGTTAGTAGACCTGTTCAGATAGCATTCAAAAATCCTTGTAAATGTTTGCGCAAGTAACCATAAAATAGGTTTTTATTCAAACTAGATATTCTATAACTTTAGGAGCAAGTGTTGTCTGATAAAAGTCAAACAAACTCTAACTATTGTTGTCTATGCCCAAATATTATCTGCTAGAGCGTTTTCTTAATACTACGTAAAGTGTGTTGGGGATCCCAAGTAAAAAAAAACCCTTAAATTCTTCTAATTAATGCTTCTAATTAACTTAATTTTTCTTATCAATACTAAACTTAAGTCCAAAAACTGAAGCGTTTCTATTACGTTTTTCCGCACTTCGCCTTTTGTGGGTAAATCTTATAATAACTACTTGAAAACATCTTTCAAGTTACATCCGTAAACAATCGAGGAATATATTCATAAGTAATCTTCGCCTGAAAACTCGAATCGTGTTTAACCTGGGAAGACTATATTCATAATATGATTAATGTTGGCTTCCTGCTGAGAAAATGAAGGCATTATTTCGAAAACAATCAGGCGAATATGATGCCAGAGTTAACGATAATATACACTGAAATTTGTAAATTTTGCTCGAAATAATCTAACTACGCAACAACAAGGAAGGAAAACGAATCCTCTCTATGTCCAATCTCCAGATCGGTTGTACCGTAGGAATACTGGAAGCAGCTTGAATGCGTTGTATAGAAAATTGTTAAAAAAAAATATTTGTCATTTTCTCAATTAACAATGTCTTCTGTTAAACGTAACGCAAAGCGTGTAGGACAAGCTTGTTAGTTGAACGCCCGATTTTCTCACTATATACTTTCGTGTGCTTACATGCAGATTATGTATGTGATACGAATTGCTATACCTAATTATGAAGCTCCATCATTGTTAGGCTAAACATAGCCAGGAAAAAAAGTGAAAAATGGTACCTGTAACTGCTTTCGGTGACGTTCCTAAAAGGACCTGAACCAAGCATCCAACCGCCAACTCCAAGGATCACACGCAGATACGGATTCTTCTTTTTCAAGTCAATAATTTGTTCGTAATAACCTAAGTCATGTTACACAAATACAAGTTCTTGCTTTTGTCAATAAATATCGTTCGGTCAAATCCAGTATTACAAACTGTTTAATCTAAACCAAAAAAGACACAAAATACGAAAATAAAAAATGAAATATTCGTTGTTGTACAAGTTTTATGAACTGTATTTAGCCTCTCCAACGGTTGAAGGTAAAAACTTCGTACGAATAGAAGTTAAAGAACTTTATAGTCGGACTGTATGTTCTGTCGGAGTAGACAAAAATGAGATGGACGGGTTAAGGTATGACAGGAGTGCTCGTTATTAGCCATATTGCTCCATTTTACATATTTCTATGCAAACCATCGTAGGTCTTAAAACTAATTAAGGAAATTGATTGAAATATCACCTTCAACAGTTTTTTTTTTATCTAGGTTATATACTTTTTGGGCGACTCACATGGGCTGCGCACTGAAATGAAGTTAAGAGACACGCTTCAAAACAGATTTAATTTTCAGATAGTTCTTATAGAAGCTCATGTACCAATGTGTATTTAGTTCCATATACATATGGGTTAAACTTCACAACATCTTTAACTTTATCATTATTTTAACATTATGTAAACGTAATGTTTGATTAATATGCACTTTAAAAAAAATATGGTTATAGAGCGAAGGAAAGTTTTGCATCCCAATAGCCTTTCAATTTTCTCTATAAATTCGCTATTGTACTGCACTAGTTTCAATGGAACGCCCGTTACGGTGAAGGCTGGACTTCTTAATGTTTAATTAAATGTTTATTTCCCGTAACTGCGTTTTTATAATACTGTTGAGGTAAACTGAAATGTAAGCATATGTCTTCTTTGTTCTTTTTTCGATTCCTTGGAAGTTCATCGAAGTACTTTTCTGTTGCTGATCGAACAGGGTCGAAAATATTCGTGGCATTTTATACGTTTTCTATTCATACTGCCGTTTTATGCGTCGCGGATAAGTAAATAGCTTTCGGCAAAATTATGAAAAGTTTAACTTGTATAAATCAAATTCTCTCCGTTGCTCTACGATAGCATATCGGTAACGTTTGTCGCAAATAAAATTCGTGCAGTGCCTGTGACTTAGAGAAGTACATGTTAGAACAAAAAACAATACGAGAAGCATCTGGACGGAGTGCGTGTGTGGGCGAAGGAAGCAGTTTTCTTAAGCTGTTATATGATTCGCGATTGGTTTTGCATGGTAGGTAAGTACATTTTTCGAAAAATGATCCTTGTAAGTACGAGTTTCCGCTAGCAATCGGCTTTTATAGCAGTATCTAGTAGTCTTTCAATCATAAATAGATAATCTTTGTGTCCTATGTTCATTATCTAACACGTACCCTTTCCACCTTCGGCAATTTCGTCTTTTTCCTCTGTGGGTACTAGTTGATTGTCCTTAATACCAGCGAAAGCATACACAATATGAGAGCACTTTGAGGGGTTGAGATTAAATGGCTCAAAACGACCTCGGCCTCTGCGTTTCCCAGCCCAGTTGGTGAAGTAACAGACGATACGAGCGTTTGTATCTGATATAAAGATGTAAAAGTATGGTGCACATGATAAGCATCCAGAAATACTTGGCAGATAGATTAAGTAACTAATTTTGTCCTAAAATGTTATTCTACTACTATAGGTAAAGTCAGCTTATCTCGGTTATCTCCTATATACTCTCATATGGCATTCGTGAGCATATTCACGCTCGGCGTCTTACGCTCATTGCACCAACAAATTCCTATTAGCCATTCCAAATGAAGATTGTTAAGTAACTGCGTGGGTCCGTGGGTCAGTGATGGTGGTTCCGCAGAAGTGATTTGATCGACTAGCGTGAGGGTGTTGTACCCCACCCAATGCTGTTAAACCCAGTGCTGGTCACATACTACTTATTAAATAGCTTTGTATAGATTTGATAAATAAAGACTTAGCATTTATGTTCATGTTTTGTACCAGGTTCAGGGTAATCTTCAAGAGAACTTTCGTTCTCTTTAAGCCTTTTTTGCTCTTCGATGACTGACTTAGGTGCATTGGTTAGGTCCTCCAAAGGATTCTTACGCGACGAAGTTTTGTCTTTCTTTGTAGACGGAGTAGCTGCTTTCACCTCCTATACAGAAATAGAATATTCCTAGTCAGTCTGTAGATATTACTTGATTCACTTTACAGGTATATAAAGCAGATGCCTAATTACAAGTGCCTGTGCGGTATGCGTTAGCTAAGTGAAGAAAATTTTCAAAATTAAATTTCCGCGATGCAATACTAATATTGTAAAAATTGGCCGCTCCGAAAGCTTTCCACGCAAGATTGTAAATGTTCTTATTTATACGAATGAGCGGTTTATACGGCTGACAGTCCCTACACTCCTTCCGAAGAATCTGGGAAAAGTCCCGGGTGCCTATGTGAAGAATCCACGGCAAGAAAAAGACGTCTCATCAAAAAGAAAGCTCATCAAAAAAATCAAAAGGCATCTTATAATACCCACAGAATAATTGGAACTTCTGTAAGTATTTGTGGAAACGAGCATGTCAGTAAATTTGAAAGTGCCTTAGGGACGCCCTTTTCGTCATCGTAGTCAAACAGCCACTCTTCATTTTAAAGAAAAAAAAAAGAGCGTTACGAGCAGCAACCTTTAATGAAACGTTGATCGACAGTACAATAGACAGAAATCCACATATTTTTCGGGAAGGCGCGGAAGCGGCTATCAATATCAGTGAATTAAAAATAACTCTCAAAAAATCCTTGGCTTTTCCCGAAGCCACTCTTAAAACTTACCGAAGCAAGATTCTCACCTTTCTTTACATATTAACATCGCGTGGTACGCGGCTGTTACTGCGATTGCGAAGTCTCTTATAAATTGAAAAATCAATTTTTGAGAAAGCTTACGCAAATAAAGAAATTAAAAGAATAACACACGTAGCTAAAAGCAGATACCTTAAATAAAATGCCTACTAGTTGAAAATGCTTTTTACAAAAGCATTAAAATATACATAGAATCACTGTTTACGATTAAATATACGGCTCCAGAAACTAACGACGCTCTTTTTAGCATATAAGGCCTATAACATGTGGGTGCGTGTTGTAAATGTTGTGCGTAAGGGCTTACTTTAGCAAGTTTTTCGAGGGAGCTAATTGGCCCGCGGGAAGGATGGCCGAGAAGTTCCTCTCCTATTGCACCAATCAATGGCCATTTTTTATCCGTGCACGTACCCTGTTAGCAGTAAGGGTTTCAGAAAAATACGATGCGTTGTAAAATGCAAAATAAGGTGCAAAAGATCACAACGTAAAGTTTATAATTAGTTGCAGTGATCTGCAGTGTATTATGAAGACCGGCTTAGACAATTGCTGGTTGATGTAAAAGTGTGGCCACGTACCTGAAAGTCATCCATATCGATAGCCCAAATCATGGCACCACCAAATCCATTCTTCTTAATCCACTTCATCTTGTTTCTATATTACGCCAAAAAAAGACAAAATTTGGCAAATCGGTAAAAGGTGACGGAATGTAGCATTGTAAGAAATAAATAAATAAAAGGGGCAATACATAATCATTGTTCAAAAAAAGTCCTAAAATAAAAGAGCCCTTCGGCTTCATCTTTCTTTACACAATATAGCACTTATTTTCACTTGCTTTACTATGTGCCTAGGATGAATACACAATATCACAAACTGATGTCTCACATAATATGTGTTGTTAGCCTAAAAAAAACACTGTGTGTATTGATATAACTATATTAGGTACTCTTTCTTCAACTTTCTTTCATGCTAAATATAATGTAGGACAAAAAAAGTCGTGCGTTGATTTAGTACAAAACGAGTATTTTTCAACCAGTTTAGTTGTTACTAAAATGCAGCTCCATAATTAGACACCATTTCACCTGACCCTAAAGGAGTGTTCTTGTCCCTTTAGCTAGAAAAAATACGTGTGCATTTTATATTACCTAATCGATCTTTCGTCGTCGAAGCCGACCCATTGGTCACCAAGGTAGGCGTAAGGAACTTTCTGCTCATCATCCCACACATACGTCGCGCCCTTCTTCATCATATCACACACCTATTTGAAAAACCAAAAACACCTTATCTGTTATTGCTGCGATGGCTTTTGAATTTTTTAGTCGCGCTTTAACATACCTCAAACACAGCCTGCGACACCCAGTATTGCTTTTATACATTTCTTAACTGTATATCTAATTGCGAATATTATTGAAACTAAAAAAAGAATGGCTTCAGAAAATGCAAAATTTTTTTGGGAGGAGGTATGATTTAAATTTTGCCATAGAAAGCACGAAACGTAAGTGCACACGCACCCATCTAGGTTTTTCTGTTTCCGTCATAATCTGATAGTGTTAATGTGCCTACTAAACCTAAAAACATCTAATGGTAAGGTATAGATTTGAAGCGAGGCGATGCCTAGGGGCATAGTGTCGGATGCGAAAATTTCACATTCGTTCAGGTTTCTTCGACAACCTTATATGACTTCATGCTCTTTGAAAATGCAACAAATGCGATTTGTCTCTTGAAAAACAATTAATGCAAAAAATATTGAATGTTGTAGTCCATTTTATACGTTGACATAGTTGACTCGCTCGGGTTTATATGTCAATCGGAAATTTCGGAAACGAACAATCGGAAACGAAAAGGTCTTAATTGTGGATCGCAAATGTTTCAGTTACCTTGCGCAGATTAGTGAAGACATTGCACAATAATCAACTAACGTAGGAACTAACAAAAAACTACAGCTAGTTAAATGTGTTAGTAAAGTAATGGCCATAGTGAATAAATCGATTATACTACCTCATAATAGGCCAAGAAGCCTTCTTCACCCGTAAATTCCCCCTTCTTCCCGCCTCCCGTTGCCGCAGCATTCATTCCGTTGTGTTTTGTGTTTGCCAGCGTAAAAGTGCGACCATATGCTCCCTGTCCAATTATTAGTTTCTCTTTCGGGGCACCTAGAGATTCCCACTTCCTCACACCTGTAAAAGCGGTGAACAGAAATATTTTGATTAACAATTATTTTATTTCTAGAGCATTAAGTTTTTTTTTTCTATATTATTATATTATTGCGACTAACTATTATAATGATATGTCTGAATTCGACATACTAAAAGACTAAGTTATCGAAACAAATTCTAGTTCTATTTATTATAAAAAAAAAAAAACAATTCTACTAAATTGTTTTTTTCTCCAGTATCTGTCCACGAACCTCTAGTATCAGTGGTGTTACAAATTGAGTGAGGTTTCAATTTCATGTTTTGTTTTTTTGCGTACACGTATTTCTAATCATACATGTGCGCGTAATTGTAATTATGGCGCAGTAGTATCTCCGCGAATGCGATTCATTCAGTTAGAACCTCATCATTGTATGGCGTTAACGACGAAAATGTCTAGGATTATTATGTAATGTGTGTATGTATATATATATATATATATATAGAAAAATCTTGTTTAAAAAAACTTTACCTTCCCACTTTTTCTTACTTATTGTTTACTTCTAAGATACCGTTCCGTTCGTAATCGCTTTTCATCAACATGCTTTGTGATGAAAATAATTTCGGCTTAAAAATGCACGCCATAAGTGGAAAATAACCGAGTTTTCGAGACACTCCGTGCTATGCATATCTTCGAGGCAGAAGTCCGATACATTTCCTTCGTTGTTATCACTAAAAGCACGTCTCAAGAATGGCGTGTCGAGTTTGATAACAGTAGTCGCGACTTAGAAGATGTCCAAACTGTGATTGGCTATCTATCTTGAGTTTGGTGATGATCATCTGAAAGCAGATAGCCGACAGACAGCCTGGGAATTGGCCATACAGAAAGGCTGCAGCCTCACAACTGTCGTTAACTGCTTCAGGTCCCTTGTCCCACACAGGAACTCAAAGCTTGGCTGATTCCCTGAATTCAACAAGGAATTACGGCTTAATGCTGCATCCCAACATTTCGCCTGATATCGAGTGTCACACAGCCACAATGACCGATTCCTTTAGAACTGTCATTGGCTAGGAGAAATGGTGTCTGTATATCAACATGAATCAGAAATGAGTGCTTCCAGGAGAAAAGCAAAGCTTAGGATTTAATCAGATCTTGCCTTTGGCGGGATCGCAAGGGCCTAATTCACCAATTATTGTTTCTACTTATCTAGACAATTCGCCAGCATTTCTATTTGGTCCAGTTGTAAAGTCGACCAAGAAGAAAGATCCAACAAACGGTCAGGTCATCCTGCTTTACGATAAAACGCGACCACACATGTCAAAACGAGGGACGGACCTGCTGACTTTGTGCCGACATATTTGACAAATGAAAATAGTCTCAGAACTGTGGTAGACACACCTTTAACACGTAACCTGAAAATTTTTGCAGAATGTTGTGGAATAGGGGACACACGTAGATAATTTTATTGCATAGACATGAATAAACCGTGATTTTTATCGAGTAAAAATGTGAAAACTCTATTTCTAACATAATATCTTCGTGTCGCAATCGACTGCTTGTTTCGTTCATCCTGCACCAGCGCCGAGTCAACGCGCACCTTAAGCTCGGCTTAACTTCGGCAACGTTTTTAAATTACACAAGCCAAATTACCAGGTCTCTCCTGCGTTATTCTGCAGTTTGGCGAAAAACAGCAAGGAACCTCCCATGGGAACGGGTTACTTCGATCGTATTGTTCTCAACCACAGGCTTAGACATCCGTAGAATATACAACAGTCGCACGCGCGAAGGTGTATTTCTGTGACTACCTGCGAGCGCATACGAGCGACTCATCTAGAGTTGGTACCGATAATGACTATGTCACAGACTCATTCAGCGTTGCGCCATCTTCTTACCATATATTCAGGCTGTAAGCAGATCATTTCTGGGAATTTTTTTCCAGCCTAATATAGATACCATTGCAAGTATCACCAATAACTTACATCCGAATTTACTCGACATTGCCGCCGGTCGACCAAAGCGACCATTTGCGTGAACCCTTGCTGGCTGGCTGGCCGTAAAGGCTAAACGACGCCTCGTCTATGGCGACCGTACGCTCCGAAAATTGCACGCGAGTCACGTCACACACATTTCCAACTTAACTGGAGTCAATTTACGGGGGACTCATCTTTACACAGTTTCCGTACGTTCAGCATTTGTATTATATGTCTTAATTTACAGTCTTCTGGAAGACTGAGATACTTATCATATAGTCAAACTTATCAAAGTAGTCTGTTAATAGCGCGTAATTCTAAAGTTATTAAATTTCGAAATGTGCTGGATACAGCCAAATACAATTCGTATTATCAATACAGTTTAGGATTAATCATGTTACTGCTTTTGTTCGCTTTCGGCATTTTTTGAAGATGCATTTCCAAGACGATCTCCTTATTCTGTTGTAAGCCTTGTTGTAAGCCTGTTAAGCTTTTTATCCATGAGACAAAACTTTTTCAAGCTCAGACTCTAAAGCCGATTTTTTTTTCTTACTAATTCCGACATCTTATAGAAATAGAAAATGTTCTATTGTGATTAAACAAATCAATAGCTAGTTTCTGAAAATTCGTACAACCACTTTGTTACGATGATAGGTTTAAGAAGACAATCTTTAAATTACGTATAAAAGTAGAGAACAAAAAGTAAATTGAGCTATAGTAAATTGAGTAAATTGAGTAAACGAACTTGTTAGACACAAACGTTGATAAAAAAAAAAATCTTAATAAAACAAACCATAATCCATGCTAAGCATTTTGCGCCACTCCGTCTCTGATGACAGTGCAAACAAAGGACTATTGTGGCCGGTCTGCTTTTCCCATTTACCGTGGAAATCATATGACATCACCTGTAAACACGCAAAATTAACAAAGTACACATTCATAGTGCAATCCTTTTATCCTTCAGTATGCCTAAAATTTTCAGTATGACTGAACCTTGCAGTTAAGTCGGAATACATACATTGACAAAATCCAGATAAGCAGCAACAGCAGGCACATCATATCCGCTCTGAATTGTTTCCGCTCCCGCCGAAACAGCGGCCGTCAGGAGCAATCGTTTCAGTTTTTTCTCTTTGGCTTCAGCCTATCAATTAAAAAACAAAACACTTAAATAAATTAGTACAATAACTTTGGTCTGAATAGAAATATTTCATGTTACCAAGAGCAGCATTGGGTTAATTAAGGTTAACTTATTTCAAATGTCAATCCAGTCTTGTCAGTGCGCAACAAGTTTGGGTCACTGCACTTGAAAAAGTGACAACAATAAAAAAATAAAACTTGCTGTTAAATTTTATAGCAAGCGTTATTTCGCTACTGCGGATCGGAAAACACTGTTTGATACCGATAAACGGACTCAAGGATGCCGAACAAAAATCTATGAAAAAATTTGTATGATAAAGTCAATTGAGAGAGGCTTAATTAAGCTACCGGATCAAGATTTGCTTTCTGTTTCTTGCATAACTGCGCCTCGCACCTTTTGCTCCTGACAGCTATACCAGTGCACTACTGTATAAAGGAAGCAAATACTTTGTAACTCTACAAAGTCCGGTAGTTTTGCAGCAGCGACAGAGTTTGCAATAAAAATGGTTCGTTAGCGTTTACTCAGGCCAAACGTCTACTTGGTCAAAGTTGTCCTGTGAGTATTTTACTCATAGGCTTCCATTCGTTACCTACTATAAAGTCTTTTTCTGAACTCTGTTTCTCATCTCTTATTATAAGGCTGTGTGGTATGCAGGGCACAGCTTCTTGCGCATACTTACTGCAGTTAACCTTTCTAAGTATTATCTCTTTTATATATTCCAGAGCCAGAACTCGGCCACCCCATTTACAATTGCGAGCCGTCTGGTTATCCTTAAAACCACGTGCTACAAATTACTGGATGGAACGGCATAGCTCTAGTTATTCTTCATTTGAGACCCATTTAAAAAATCACCTGATCCTGTTAGTTTAAAAGGATGTTAGAGATTAATTCTCAACGCTTAGTCGATTACGCCGTTTTTACTCTAACTTTGTTACTACACTAGCATAACGTTAGCATGTATAATTTTCATATTTTAAGAACGTGAGTTACTAAATAGGCAAACTGCGAAAATGCTACCTCAAAAGCTTCCCGAAGGTCCTTAAGCAGCTTTACAAAGTTGTCCTTGTCTTCTTTGCCACGAGGAAACTCCCAGTCGATGTCAAGCCCATCAAAATTCCTGTAATCTCTTACGATTATAATTACGCGACTAAAAACTAAATAACCCAATCTCAGCGAAATTCATCGAGTAAGATTAATTGCCGTAACCGTAATGGGCCTAAATGAAAACCTCATTGAGGTATCAACAATTTTATGCCTAAAATTGTAAATACCTAAAGGGCGTTTATCGCGCCAGGGCGCACTTCAAGCTCGCGATAATCTAACAAAGTGTTATACTTTATTACCTTTTTCGAAGAAATTCGATAGCAGAAAAAACAAATAGTCGTCGATTGTATGAATTGGAAGCCATGTCCTTGAACATTTGAGTCCCAAACGACCATCCACCAACAGCCAATAGCACCTAAACACGGAACAGCAAGAGCAAATAAGAGTGGGACATGCTAGTGCAAGTTGAAAATATTTTACCATAAAGCCAGTATGTGTGCTCGCTATGTAACGCGCCGATATCTAGCTTTTAGATCTAAGCAAGATTAACTTAGTCGAGTGCTAGCTACGTCCTAAACATCTACAAAAAATTTATTATAAGTCTACCAGTTTCATTCAGACAACGCTTTTCACGCCTCGCGCATTGCCGTACTTCTATCTCAGTTCAGGAGCACCTTGTTTAACCACTAGTCCTAATTGGAACCTTGGCATAATTTGGCATAACCATGGCAAAACTGTTGTTGTGGACGGTGAAATTTTTCTATTGTCGGAAACGTGTGTCTTAGGATCCCGCACTTTATTTCAATTCATGAAGCTCGTACCTTATGCACGATTACCTTCTCATAATAGTGTTCGAAGCACCCGACTTTTGTTGTTGCATATCGCTGGCGAACAAAAAAAAAAAACAAAAACAAAAAAAAAAAAATAGAGCTAGAAGACATCAATGGCCACAGAAGCATAGGACGCAATTTCTACGCTCCGCGCTGATAAAGCGTGCCCTTCACACATATGAACCCATCATCTTGCCGACTGTCACTGGTATAAAAGTGGCCTGCTAATGAAGGTTCATGAAGCTTGCAAATGATACACACGTCTACCTCGCAGTCTGACGATGCTGACACACCACAAAGCTGGTACGAGGGTAGGGGTTAAAGAGATGGTTCAAAACGTTTTTTTATGGCACTGTTTTCCAGGTTTCAGATCCTCAAGACTCACCGCATTTCCTAGACAAACTGAGTCAAACCTTTTTAAGTTATGACATGTTTTAGGCAAATAGTCCTGTACTAAGCTATTCCGCATAGGAATTAATCCAGGTGCTGCTGCGATAAAATGAGCTAAAGAGTTCGATTCGTCGTATCTTCGCTAGAGACACTTAAAAACATATACCTCCACTTGATCAGACAACGTTCGTTTGACTAGAAGGTTTGAGTAATTTGAGTTCTTCATTCGAAAACCGGTCCGCGAGCTTGTTCGTGGATCTTTATCACGTACTGGTTTCTACAATATCAACCCTGAGGTACTTCCTAGCTCTTTGCACTTCTTAATTCTTAATAGAAGGCTTTGGAAAACGAAAAAACGGCAAACTGAAAATTTGCTGGAAAAAAATTTCATATGAACTTCGACTATTTTTCCGATTATCTCGAAGACTGTTTGCGTTTTCAAAGTCGATTCTAGTTATCCAGTCGGTTTAATAAGATCTGACAAGGTAACAGCTTACTGAAGAGGCCAAGCGGCACGTAGCTTTGGTATAATTCAACGCCGTTACTGTTTATTTGTCATTAATTTAATTCTCAATTTCTTGTCGGCACCAGAGGAATTGATGAAAAAAAATAGTCAATAATACGCAGTCTACCTGAGAAGCTGATTTTAGCCTCTGAGAGAAGCGGCGGGTACTGCAAATCATCTAAATGACAAGCATCTATAAGTTATCAACAACGACACTTGGTGAATTGGTCTTACTGAATTCTGCTGCCATTTACTGCTTTTTATTTATGCCTCACGTAATGACGAGCACCGTTTGCGTTCCTGGGTCCAACACTGTGATTGTTTGTAAAGTTGAATTATCAAATGGTAACACGTGTCGCCTCTCAGAATGTAAGTCCTATCCACAACAGATCTTGGGAACGGCCGCCGGGCGCCTGTTTTGCTATGATTTTTAGCAACTTATTTTTCTAGGTAGCAGATTACTTGTAGGAAACGGCTGTTCTTTTCTAGCTCATGCAATGGAAAACCGTTTTACTCAAAGTACCAGCCTCGATCGAAGATGTATACAAGGGTTAGAGAAAAACTCCAGCACCTGTGTATAGTTCTGTCCGCATGACGATAGAAGGTAACTATATAATAATTTCACTTGTGTTATTATTTTTAATAGTAGTAGTACGGCTACTGTTACTTGACACTTGGTTTACCAAATATTTGCCTTTTTTTCTTATTTCATTTGTTTAGGCCACACTGTTTAATTAATTTTTTTTTTCTTATCTTTAAATTTCCTATTTTTCTTTTCGTTGTAGAATACATGATGGTCTATTATTTATAATATTATATTATCTTAGTATCTTCTTAGATAAGATACAAAATTAACATTTAGTTTATTTAGACAGGACAGGGTATTGCTTCGATCAGCGAGGGTATTGTCGACTTCGTCCAAACTATGATATTATCCTATACAAACGATATGGGATAACAAGTCATAGAATTCTTTTCGTTGATGAGTATGCTTCACAAAATACGCTCTGGACCATTAGTTCCAAGTCTCTTTTGAGAATAAAAATTTGTCTCACTAATAACAAGAAGCGATTAAGGGTTACTACGGTACAGTGTAGATTTGTACACGTTTAAGAATACGCTTATTACCACCAACTGCAGCGTTTGCCATCGAGCTCATTGAAGCGGTAATATTATATTCCATTGGTAGCTATCATCTCTGAAACGTAGAAACTATAATGAGATCAACCATCTTTCGTTAGCCATTGTCAAGATTTAGATTTCGGACAAAAGGCCCTGAACCGGAACGATTCCATACGGAGGATATCACGACCGTCATGCTTACGCTATACCCAGTGCAGCGTGACAGGCACAACTTGATCTATTACCTGCAGGACAAAGTTACGAACTCAAATACGTTAAGTAGTGCTGTTAACCATCTCTCCAGGAGCAACAGTTATCGAAATGATTTAGACTAGAAACGCTTCCTGTCATTAGACGTCTGAATTCCGATGTTGTATGTTGCATAGGTTTTTGTGAAGGTTTAATCAGCGCACTTAGTACCGATTTCTAGCATTTGTTCCTGAAATAATTTACCAGTGTTACAGAGGATTGATTCACAATTTCAGATTTACCAGTGCTGGTGTCGATTCTGGGATGTACCAATGAGCAAACGGCCAAATATCTGGCTAAAAACTATCTGAGCGTGTCCATAGAGAAGCACCCAAAAGCAAAGAAAATACATTCACATCTTTCTCAGAGCATTCAAGATAAAAAATAATAATGGCGAAGCGGCAATATTGCCTGGTACCTTTCTAGGAAACCACGGAACTCGATGTATCGACTGACCTTCCAATTATATATTAATATCTTAAGACAAAACATGGTATATATAATAGTACTCAAGTTTAGATGGACAAAAATAAAAATGTTTGCCTTTAGTAGGTGCAATAAATGAACGAGTGATCTATCGTTACGTTATCCTCGTTGTGCAATACAAACAGCCTATGCTTTTATTTCCTAAATATATTACGGCGCCGACCCGCAGTAGTTGCCGCTTCTTTCAGCGGCTAACATCGTATTGCCTTCCCAATACTCAAATCGACTGCGTGGTACAAAGTGTGAATTTGTCTGCCAATTGACGACAAAGGAACACCTACGATATCAAACGCCACCAAGGCTACGTAGCGGTGCGTTCTGCGCGCTTGGCCTCGCCTGATGCGACTACGTCGTTTGGATCACAAAGTCGACTAGACACTTAAATTGACTTTGAAAAGCACAATTTGTACGTGTGTAACTCTTTTTGGCTAACGCGCACAATCTTCGAGGTAATCGGAAAAATAGTCGAAGTTCGTGTTAAAATTTTTGTCGCAAAATCCATAATCCCTAAACCATTGCTTTGGCGCTATTCGACGCTCTATTTTCGACCTAGTACTTCGGTTTGCAACCGCTAAACCCGGGGTTTCTCTTCCTGTTCGTACCGTACCGAATAGCTTGCACTAGGATTTTAGCCACCGAACGGCGCTGCCATCAAGTTGCAACGCACTGGCTGTACCTTCGTCTTTGGTCGAGCTGGACCGGCCCTGTCGAGCTCTACGCTACGCCGTAAATACATAAACACGATTTATTGTATTCCAAGGATCTGTACCAGCCCGTTTCAGTATACACGCACATATATACGCGCGCATACTACGGTTCGCTGCCATTGAGTTTCCGGTCGTGACGACAAAGCACTTTGACTCTCTTCGCGCGATAGGCGTTTAGGCCGCCACTTTAGCATTATATCAAAGAGCTGTTAGAATAAAAAGCAATTTGAAGCGACTGAGCAGGAAAACGGATGATTACATTCATTGCCTTTTCGAATTTTACTCGCGAGCGACTCGCGTTATTCACTAGGATATCTATGACACCAAGAAAAATAGCGGTTCAAGCTAGCTAATCAATTAATACCAATCATTATAAGCCTTTAGATTAGATGTTCTCGAAGGAAATTGCGGATAGATAATTTCACAAGTTTTTTTTCGGCATAAAAATTGTCGAACAATAAATTGGTGAAGCTGCGCAATAAATGAGTACTATGATGGCGAACTAAACAGCTATTCATGTTAAGGTATATTAGTTGGAGTGAGCAGGAAGAAACAAGACCGTGCAAGAAAGACAGATTATACAAATCCGTCCTGTTTCCAATAAATTGTCCATTAATTGTCCAAAGGCCAATTTTACGATTGACAGTGTCCCCATAATAAGAACCAAATCGCAAAAAATAACCACCGTTCACTATAACCACATGAATCTGCTTGTTAGTTTTGCAAACTCTCTCCGCACCTCCATATTGCCCGATGGGTTAATTTCTACATGTTGAAGTAATTACTATGTTCATATAAATTGACCAATTATCTTCTAGGCAGTCGTTTAATATTGGCTAGCTTTGTCAACTGATGGCTCAAAAAATTGGACTCTACGAAGGAGATCGTCTCTGCTATGGAGAACTCACTGAGTAAGTCCATTACAAAGCGTTTTGAACTTTTCGAATTTGAGAATTTATTTACGTTTGCTTGGAGAATTACGTGTTTACCAATAATGGCTTTAGCAGTGCTGTTTTTCTTGACGACCATCATAGATGTTGCTTGCTGAAGTTGTAGGTTACTCACCTTTAGTTTGGGATTTATTTTTTTCAGGTCGACTATCCTCTCGTATCCGCCCTTCTTCCCGTTTCGAGTTTCATCAGCTTCTAGGTCATGGGCTACAAGCTTGTTCTTCTTCATCCAGCCGAATGAATAGATGATGTGCGTGCAGATAAAGGGATCCACATTCTCCGGTCCGAATTTGCCTATAATGTGTTGCGATATTTAAAATGAAATTGATTTAATGCTTCGAATAAGATCAGCTATTGTTTGTACCGTTTTTATAAGATGCAGAAAAAAAAACCTACATTTAACAAAATTGTAGAACTAGGTTTGATGCTGACAGCGAGCTACTTAATCCGAAGCTCGAGCGTTACCACGTCAGATATTCACGAACTCATTAATAAAAATGGGCCAGTTGTTAGCAACGTGAGTTAGGAATAATATTTGTACAAATGTTCCATATATCCGACATAAACTAGTAATAATGTAGCACCCAAAGTTATAACCAGTACAAGTTACCCGGCTGGAGTAATTTCGCTTTACGACAACCAGTCACCCAACGTCGCGGACCTTTAGCTGCTGGGGTTTTCATTGCGCAAGTTTTAGCCAAAAATAGAGTAAGAGCATAAATTAACTCATTTGTTCCCTTTCATAAGATGAGAGTCGCATGGCTCGAATTGCATCTTATTGTAAGTCAGGATGAAGAATGACCGTGGCAAATAAAATCCGATATCTCATATATATATATATATATATATATATCGAGAGAGTTTATGACAAATGCATACGAACATTCTTAAAGATCGCAGGCCGGAAGAGTCAATCAGCCTCATCATCAGCAAAATTTTGCTCTTTTTTGTTTTCACGAGGCCGCTTTACGGGTCAGTAAGGATCGTATATACGGACTTCCAGAGCACCTTCGGAACAGTTCCTCATAACTTGACATTTTCAGTTCTATCATAGCCTGCCGGTATAAGTGAACCAATTTCGGCAAGGAGTTGTTAAAACAGGTGGTCTGCTGGAAACGATAATATAGGAGTTTTCTCCCCTTGTCATCAGTTGAGGCCATCGTCGTATATGCCGGTCATATGAATCCTTTCAACACGCACAACATTCGATAACATGAGGTTGCAGTGCCTTAGCGTTTGGCAAATGGCATTTTTTATTTCACAAATTTTAACTTAATTTTAATTTTTATTTCATTTACAAATTTTAGCAAACAGCATTTGTTTTAGGGCTTTCCTTTTGCCTAATTCACATGGTGTTTCCCACACTGGCAGACGGATTCAAAATAAATTGGATGTTAATTGATGAGTTAATTGAAGTCATTGCCATACTGCTGCATCTTTTTGCTCTCCATTCATCATCACTGAAACGTCATCTCAGTTTCATGACAGGTAGCGCAAGACTTACGTATGGGTATGAAATTATTAATGTGAATCTCAAGATAATGAGATGTATGCACTTCAAATGCTCTATCTTTGGCATTCTTAAAGACTGTTTGAAATCACGTATTTTCAAATCAAGAGAGCTAGGGATGGTCACGACCGTTTCCACATAAGCAGCGGCTTATACAAGCGAGGCTATTAGCAGGTTCTCCTGGAAGGGAGCTCATAATGCTATACTCGAGTCTATCGGGCTTTTTGGAGCTCCCGTATGCACGAAGCCAACCCTGACGATCTCAGTAATCAATATTTTTTTAATAGTTTCGTAAACTTTGCCATTGAGGGCAATTCAGGCACACTGAACCATTGGGGCAAGCTCTATAACATAGGAGGAAGTGTATAATAAGTATAACGAAAAAAATGTACAATCTGGACATCTGGAGTGGCTCGTTAAAAAATGTCAGCGTGGCCAGCACGCGTAATTGCCTACAGGAATAAGAGTACGATATTTAGAGAGTCTCTAGGCGTCACTATAAAAAGCAATATCTCAAGCTTTCAGGTCCGGGTCGACTCGGGGACCACCTAACCTACTTTCTGACACAATTTCCCACGGAAGATAATGACTTTCAAGATCTATTATACAGAAACTTTATTTCTCAGGTTTTACGTCCGGTATCGCCGTTAGGCTCCCATCAGACGCTTGGCCCCCAGCACGAAACGAAGTATGCCTATGGCCGGGTGCGAACCTACGCCATGTTAGTGTCCCTAAGATTAACGATAAAGCTATCTCGGGACTATAGAGTTATTCTGCTTATACAGAATCTATATGATCAGTATGCGTCCTAGGGAACGACTCTCCGGACATATTAGCGGCATACAAACTATTCGAACAAGTCAAGCAAATGTATGCTAACGATGGACTTAAGAAAGCGATGGCCGGGGACCTGAAAGGCTTTGTCAGAAGAAAATTTATGCTGGAAGGCTATTCTGCAAGATAGATTTTGTTAGGGGAAAATGGGTTAGAGAACAGCAGACTGGCCAGGTTCGTGCCAGCTAATATAAACTCTTCTATTAGATCAGGAAGACAACGTGCCTAATCACGAAGACTAGAATTAGCTAAGGAATAATGACAAACTTCAAGTAATTTGTAGCGTTCATAAAACAAGTCGATATTATATATATACATATATATCAGTTTGATCATTAGATTTACCCGAATCATCTGTTTTGACATGCTTTAAGCCTTGTCAAAAATTACTAAAAATAACCAATTATAACTACAGTTTGTTTCTGCCATTTGGACTATTTGAAAACGATACAGCGGGCAAAATGTGAATAGAATATTATACACAATAAACATGTTTATATCAGTAGTTCGCGAGCCTCCTCAGCATGATTAAGGTCAAAGGCTTTCCACAACCGTCTTCGTTTAGATTTCCATATATGAATGCGGTTCAATACGTGTTTTAAAACGGTATTCTGTATACTGGTGCCAGTTCTGTATTATTAAGCGGATTATATAGTTGTGACATCGCTGATAAAGTGAATGAAGATTCAAACTCTATTGCTGATCGGCTTGCCCCCAATCGCTGTTGATATTCTGATACAAACAATTTTAGTTGAAATAGAGCGTTTACACACGGTCATACTAGTTAATTCAGAGACAACAGTGTTCAAACAGAATGACTTGACATGCTATTTCTAAATCTGATTCAATCAATAATAATGAATATAAATGACAATAATAATAGAGATAATGATAATTTGCTCGATCGAATCCTGCTCACTGCTACAGTAGTGTCCTCGCGCCGCTACCCTGATGCCGTGCAGGAATTGCACGAGACAATATAAAGGATGTGCAGCAGACGATCATAGCATTACAAGATATCGGAAATGTCATACGCCAGCGCAAAATACACGATTAGCAAAATACTGAGATCTTTATTGGGGGTCATCTGGCGTGTAGGGCAAGAATAGCCTTGAACTCCCAAAAGATCTAGAAAATGGGCTCTGTGCACTTGCAGGAAGCTCTGCTTACTCCTTCCTTAAGCAATCAATATCATCAGAACTTTAATGGTGGAATGTCAAACTGCAGGAATGGTACGACTTCTGGCAATGATATAATTTTCGTAAGTATTCATAATAACAATATTATCAACGAATGTATTTATCCGGTGTAGCACTGAAAGAATAATAATAACAAAGAGTAAAATAAAATAATTACAAATAGTAATAAAGACTATATTTTTTTCAGCACGGGCTTTATTCGGAAAGACTTGCACGGGAAAGCGCCCTATTTTATTCCTTAATGACCAAGGATAACTAATAAAGACGCATATATATAATTTATGCATTATCACATGTCAGATACACGGCTCTGATACTTAGAGATACGAATATTTACCTTTGCCTGTCCGGTACCTGGCCCAGTTGGTAAAGTAACAGACGACTTTTTTATCGGACGCATGTCCGCTGACTTCGTTGCTCTGCGCACCGCCAGCGGATGACAGAGAAGTTTTCCTGGTCTTCCCACGCCTCCGTTCTGGGGATACCAATAGACCGCTACGTCGCAGTGTGCGGTTTCCTACAATTATTGCCATAGATTAATTACAGCAAGTTATTTCTAGTCTAACCTTTAAGAGAACTAACGTTTCGTTATTTCGAATTATTTAAGTCGTGTTGCAGTAAAAAAAAAACGCTTAGCTTCAAAACAGCTGAATAAACCGTAGTAATGGAGTCAACCATAAAGTAATATTGGAAAAAATCTATACAAAGGGTAGGTCTGCTTTTTTGCTTAGCTAACAACAGTCGTAGTCCTTAACCGCCATCTCCCTATACAAATTCGTATTCTCTCATATGATCGGATGCAATTAACGTAGCTTTATTTCACGTTACTGAAGCAGGCGGGGGAAGAGCTTCCTCAGCAGAAGTTGGTAGGCGAGAATGCTGAGACGCGATCTATTCCAAGGAGGAGACACGCAGTTTGAAGAGGATTTAGGCAACTCAAGATAGGAACCTATTAGTATGGTACTATCTTCACGTACCGTAATTATTTAAGGGAAAGGATCGATACTAGCATAAGATGGTAACAAATAAGTATTACAGCTGCTGTATATAAGAGAATAGCTTATATAAAATATAATATATTAAATAAACGAAGTATTAGTTTGCACTGCGAATAACCAAAGCCATATAGATAAGTATCTAACTAAAATTATTTAAATGGACTTACAGCCTATTATACTTGAGAATATCGCATACACCTACCTATATACCTTTTGAGGCGGACGACAACTCTGTAGTGTATCTTTCAGCTTAATCAAATTTTGTACGATCATATTATTTAAAATATATCAAAGCACAGGAGAGTTGCTGTACTGTTTTCTAACGCAAAACCTTCCTTCAGTGTTTTGCCAGGCCAGTTGACATTTACTGGTACTGATTGAAAAAACAGACTTTTAACTTTAGGCAGTCATTTGTGGATCCCACTTCCAAGTCATTATTTTTGAAAACTAAATACAAAGCGGGATTTTTTGTTCTCTTTTGACCTATGATTGCTATTGATTTTTGATGAGCAGCTTTCAAAGGGCTACTAGATGCAAGGTAAGAGTCCCGTCCACACGCCAAAAAGGCCGTCACGTTTTTATGAATTTCGGCTCTTACTTATAAAGCCATCCCTTAGCAACTCATGGCTCTATTGAAAAACATGTTTCTTCGATTAAGCTCCATTATCTTTCAATATATCTGCCGTCAGTCTTAGAACATACAACATAATAAACAAAGCTAAATATTTGCAAGCTAAAAAATTTAACTAGACACAATCGGATTTCAAAAATTGTAGACTACATTGTGTAATACCTGTGCTAGGTAATTCTTAATCTTGAAATATTTATGTTTTTGGCCTTTTTTAAGCACAGATGCAATTTTCCGTCCGCAATACAAACATACTGCTTTCTCTGTGTCTGGCTTTTAATATACGATTCGCACAACGACGTCTGTCGTCGCAGGGGCAACAGAATGTTTGCAAATGCAAATCTGAAATTCAGAAAAGGCTGTTACGGAGGCAACGCATGGTTACATAAATCGCTAATGCTGAACTGAAGTCGAAGAACTTATGTCTTTTCTTGTAACTGAAGTAAATGACAGTTTGTGTACAATATATGTAAGAGATTCCTTGATCGCTCGGGCTCAACTTAGTAAGTGATTTATTATCATTGAGAAAACTTACTAGGACATTATGTGTCTTCAAGTGTACGATTTAAATGCTGAATAATTACTTGTTACGAGAAACATGGTACTGGAAGAAGGCCGAAGGTAATCTTGCTGGTGCCTAAGGATTTAGTCATCGTATGTGTAAGGCACAAAAAAGTTACCCGGCCTTATCCAAAACAGACCAGAGTTTTACGGTTTTAAAAATTCTGCAAACGCATATTCTGAGCATAGTCTTCATTTTGAAAAACAATAAATTCGAGTTCCGATCGATGTCAGAGTTCATCAAAGTTGGGCTAAAATTGCACTTGTCATTTAAGTTTTTAACCAAGGTTTGTCCACTATATTAAATTTTGCTGCTTTGTTTCCTTTCTTTTTCTATTCTGAACTCTACGCCATTATATGAACACGTGCTTGCACAGGAGGTCACCTTTAAAACGATCAGATTTCCATTGAAATCCTATTAGAATACTAAACTGCTTATATCTCTTACAAAGGCGGACCTTTACATTTTATTTATGAGTCTTTTAGCTTTACACCATTAGAGACATTACTATTCGTTACGTATATGACGATTTATAGAAAATCCAAGGGCTCCACCGCAGTAGGGGCTTACGAAAATATTGTTGTTGTTGGAAGCTCCCGTTTTTGCTGTCTTGTCACATAGCACTACAGACTTCTACTATTCGTTTTTGTATTGTTTTTAGGAAGAGCATGTTTTCGTCTTTTGTGAGGGTAACAGCTCTTGAACATGGCACCTTCCAATATCGTGCCAAATGCAAGCTTTGTTACAACAAAAAGAGATAAAGTAAGGCAGTTTGTGCTTAAGTTCTTTTATGATTTAAGAACTGAGGTAGCACCAACAAGACCGACTCTATAATACGCCATTTTATCAGGTTGTCTGTTGTTTCGCTCAGTAACTTGAAACAAACACTCGCAGAGATTATCATTCATTTCGTTCTCAAAACACAAACCTATTAAAAAAATTCAATAATAACGGTAGAAACACTTGGGACTTATCTTTCTAAGCTTACCTGATAGAGTAAACCTATTTTTTTTTATTTACTTTAGTCATCTCTAGTTTGTGTTAAGACTAGCAAGATAAAAGGCGGAGCTTGTAGTAAATCTGTTTGAAATTTTCACAATAATTAGAATTTTAGTTATGAGCAAAAAATTAATTAAAATGTTTAATTTTTCATATTGGTTGAAATAGCATTAACTGGTTTCATGAAACTGAGTGTGCATATATCACTTGTAAGCAGCCAGGCATCTTGTAGATTTTTCCAAGAGGCCCAATTTCGGTCGCATTTTTCTTTACCGTACCTTAGCCACGTGTTTCATTACATAGCATCTATCCTGCAGCACGGATCCCTTGAGTTTGAAATGGCAGTCGAAATAGTCTCGGCAACTGAGCTCTTTTTATTCGCCGATCGTATTGACGAGTTAGACAGTATGAAACTTGGATTGTCTAAGCTTCTTCCGCTTTTTTAGTTTTATATTGGAAACTCAACACCAGTATCAATTCGAAGATCCCTTCTGATAATGTCCTTGGAGTTCCTTTGTCTGAACTAGGTCCATATAATCCTAAGGTCTAAATTTACCTGAGCTTTTGGAATTTGCATCATCCATGCTGCAGTATTTGATTGCATTGTAGCTCCCTGTTCACGTTTTGGGATACAGTCTATCCTTAGAATGTTGAACGCACGCATATTTCAAATGATCGGTCCTATCGCCAATCCTAACTGGATCTTGCTGGAGTGCTGGGGTGTTTGGTTTATGTATCGTTTATAATTGACTTGCTTAGGTCATACCTTTTAAGAAGAAAAAAATGGGGGGGCATATCAAATCTACATAAGAGACTGTCAGCATTACCTTACGGATCGGCGCTCTGGCCCAACATGTTCACCCTTTTCATAAATTTAATTCCACTGAAGCTATTGAAACTTTGAATACTGTCACTCTTTGTTTCAAATGCTAGCATTTCATTGACAGTAAAGGTATACAGCAAATATATATATATATATATATATATATATCTTTGTATAATATTGTTGCGTGATATTGTTATAAAGTTATATCTTAGTTTCTCGCAAGTCTGCTACAGTAGTATCTTGAGTTCATTTATTACGATATATAAGGAAGAGCATGATGGCCGATTGCAACATCTAGGTGTATAGCACGCATCCTTCTTGTGAAAAACAGCAAGCGGCTCCTAAGCAGACAGCGTCAATATCTTCTTGCTATATTCGCGAACTTCCGGTCTGCGCTCTAACAACTTAGGTCGTGCAAAAGTATGTACTGTGTACCTGCTGAAAACAGTACTAAAAGAGAATGGATGGCAAATCAGCCTAATGAATTTGTCCGAAGCAAACCCCAGGGGCTAATTAAGACGACAAGTTCAGTCCTCTCTTCTTCTGTTCTCTGAGGAAATTAAGAACTGCCGTTCATATGTAACAGGTCCCTTATATGCCAGTAATTCTGCATTATATATAGCTCGCATTGACACACCTTTAATAAGAATTTATTTATATATATACCAAGAAAAAAGCTATATATGGCATCATGACTGCTTGCCCTAATAATACGAGGAGCTATGTCCTCGATTTCGTATTCAACACTGTTGATGCGTGATGTTATAAATGAGTTGATCTTTTACTTATTTTATGTAATTTTTTTTTCATAATATTATACACAAGCTGTATATCTACAAGCTGGCATAAAACATGTCCCAACGGAGCATTCAAATAACGACTTAAAACAAATCATGCGATTATGGATAAGCAGCATTATGAAGCCATCATTGTAGAGTAACAAGCACATGCTCATCACCGTTATCTCAGCATATCTGTTGCTTACGTATAACTGCTAATTTATCTATCCTCCAAACCCAATCGACCCCAAAGTATATTCAAGTATTGTCGTATTAATGTGCATTATAACTGTTAAAGAATCGTTATTTTATTATATGTTTTGTTCTTCTAGTACTTGGACAGATGTAATATGCTAACTCATATATACCATAGTTTAACGTAATACACCTAGTGTAGTGCACTCAATAAGTATGTAATAGGACAAACATTTCTATGAAGTTTATTTGAGTGGTTGTCCCTTTGCTCAATTCACATCTTGACTCTTAGTAATAGAAACGTGCACGTCTACAAGCCTGATAATCTCGACCATCCGATCTTAATCTTAACATGGCAGATCGCAGTTCTCTCGCAGATAGAAAGTGGTCCAACATAGATACGTGGTTTCAAGGATGATGGGTTCTTACTGGCGGGTACTTTTGCCGACTCAGCTTTTCTGAAATGTGCCCTTAGAGATGAACGTAATAGATAGCTGATAGTCCAGGGAAAATATTTTATAGCGAGAGTTTGTCGGTGACTGCACAAACGGCTATAGCCGCGGCCACGCCATGATGAACACTACTGTATAAAACGTAAAAATTTACACACTTTACTATCCTGTTATTCGCCATATCGAGGTTTCGCAGGTGCACATGATGAGATTATGCCCTAATCACACCGCGAGTGCGGACCTGTTCACAGTAAACCTATTACGTAGATCTTATCTCTATCCCATTGTCCAACTACCCCTTCGCTTTGCTTGCGAAAGGATAGTACACTCAGTGACAAACGCAAGGCATCGTTCATCGTCATTTTTAAAGGGAAAGTTATTTAATCAAACAATTGAAATGGCCCAGAATAACACCACGTGACCACTCTTAGCGCCTATGTAAAAAAATTAGGACTGGAGGTGAACGTTCAGAAAACAAAGGCTATGAAATTCCGACGTCATACTTGACTCGCAGCATCGGGCATCTCGCGAGTTACTACCAGAAAGCTACAAGTAGTTTACTTATTTAAGTTTGCCCTTTTAATACCGATGCGTCATTCGGGGAGCATACCTTAAGTAGGACAAGGGAGACACAGCGACAAGGATCAGCAAACAGCGCTGGCTTTCTTCAACATCAAGTTAGCCTAAGTAGCATAGTTTAATATTTCGCTAATCTGGGAAGATTTAAGGACAAATCCAGCCTACAGGCTGGATTTACCCTTAAATCTCGTACTCCTGAAATACGCCGTCGGGCTATGAAAACGCAGCTTTTTTTAAAAAACTTGCAAACGAGGTTTGATTTACCAGAAACGGTAGCCTATAGGGAATTCATTCACAAACATGTGGAGAAGACAGCACAAATCGGCCGCGCCTTTTGTTCTAACTGTTGGTGTCTGGAAGACATCGAACGACTAGAATACGGAATTATAATACCTAATGACAGATGCTCGCATGACTACGTTTAAATCCGCAAATCTAGCAACGAGCGGATGAGGTATACAGACAATTAAATTCAGTTCCACCCTAAACTCGGCCCTACATTTTTTAAATAGAAGAATTTAACAAAAACACAAGCTGGTTCTCTGCTTACGTTGAGAAATATACCAGAATTGTCACTCTTTGCCGAGCCGCAGAGTCATAACGTAATAACGGATTGATTTTACCGGAGAATTTTCCTGAGTTTGTTGTTATTTCCTGTGACGCACCGAGACAGGGAAGTATTATAATTGTGAACAACGATCTTATAATTGCAACTTTGAAAGCTTTTTGGTTGAATATAGTCCTATGTCTGATAGAATCCCCCATTTTCTTGTAGAGCCTTTGCATAAAAACGACGCTATTTTTTGATGATGGATATGTTCCTGATCTCTTGAAGGACCTATAGGTTACGCGAGCCTATTGAAAGAACGTGAAATCTTCAGAACACAATTACCGCCCGATAGGTCAAGAGTCCATGGCTTACTTAGCTATAAAAGAAAAAGTGAATTACACTGTGACCTATTTAGCACCAAGATAGATTTCTAATACTGAGCGGGATAGGTTCACAAGAAGCAAATTAACGGTATTATTACAAAATCAGCGCGAGATGTTTCACTGTTATACATTCACCTCAGTTTCTCCAAAGCTTCCAGTGAACTTAAGTACGATTTTTTTAAAAAAATAGAGTGCTTATTAATCAAACCAGTGTTTCCGCGGTAGATGAGCAACCTTTTTACAAATCAAAGTCCTTATGTCGAAACATATTCTTCTCGCTTCAGCCTCCTTTATGTAGTATTGGTGTTCTACATATATACAGTGCTCCATCTGGGTTTTAGCACGGGCTCTATGTCGATACCTTGAAGCTATATGGTACCTCTGGCATTACAGTCTGTATGCTCGTTACTTCGACGTGCGGTGGATATCCGACTGGTGTGATATGCCGCACAAAAAATGGTTGCCTCTATATGGTTTAATCAATATACATTTAATGATGTGGCCAGTCTTGTATAGAGTTTAGCGAAAGATCCAGGAGTTACAATTGCTAGAATTAAAAAAAAAGATCAGGGTGTTGCTATAGAGTATATAACAACAATACTACTCCCTGTTATGATTTTTAGATATCTTATAATTCCAAATCCCAAATTTTATTGTCAAAAATCTCGTGGTTCGTGAACCTCTATATTGTCTTGTGAAACACAAACGTTTATTGTTAATATTCTGAAGGAGTAAAAGAGCTGCACCAAGAGCATGCAGAGAGACCAACAGAAAAATTTAGCAAATATTCGGATAACTATACGTACAACTATAAAGTTGATTGAAGATTAGGTGTCGATTAAACTGTAACAGAATTGTGAAGGCTGTTTGTCGTAACGACACGCGTTCATCCACTATTCTTAATATTAGAAGAGACCCATAGTGAATCACAAACCCATCATGGTGAAGGCACGATGTTCGCTCACGCAATTATTAAGCCAAAGTAAAATCGAGGTTGACGCTGTTTAGCATTATCATTTGCTACCGTGAAGCAGCTGAATTGGAACGTACCATTTGATTAACTATGGGCATCTTTTCTGTTTTCAAAAGTCGACCTTTTCCTCTAGAGATTTTCACCGAGTAAAAAGCTTATGACATTAACGAATTCTAAGACTAAGATGCCAACTACTATTTAGACGGAATGGAGAGGTGGGAGCATCGCCAGGAAAAATGTGTAAGTTTATAAAGGGACTATGTTGAGAAATGAAACAGCATTGTTTTTGTGTTAGGTTGGGAACTTTACAGACTTCCAGACTGCCTTATATATATATATATATATATATATATATATATATATATATATATATATATATATGATGAATAAAAATATGCCTAGGAACTGTACAATTTTATTGGTCCAGTACGCACTTTTTCACAACACTCCAGGACAGATTTGTCATGTTTTCTTATTTGTACCTATGGCATCAAGTATCTCGACGTACAACAAATGAATTATTACTCATCGAGCTAAGCCAAATTCAAATAATAAAGCTATTGGAAAGGAAGCGCTAGATCCAGAAGAATCTTACCAGAGGACGATGAAGCCGTACGTGAGCTTTTTCTCAAGCTGCTTTTTCTTTTTGGTAGTAAACTACTGTTGTCCTCAGCGTGAGCTGTGGCTATGAACGCCCCCAATACGAATCCTATGAGTAATAAAAGATGTGGTTTCTGAAACGTCAGAAAAAAATACAAAACATGATTATTTTATAGTTCACTAGGCTACTATTCAATTCAAGATGGGGCTTTAAATCGATTTATATTGCCATCGCCAGAGCAAACTCGGTGTACAGTCCCCCATCTACATCATTCTTGGAAGTAGTAATAGAATTAAATGTATATGATATTACTTGAACCTGTAAACTACATAATAATAAAGGGCAATTTTGCCTCTCTGTATGTCGTTGTATGTATACAGTTGGTCTGCTGGTAATCTGGATGAATTTTTGCTCCAGATATCTGCATTGAACGCTCAAGATCTATCGCTTAAGGCACAACAGGCTCTATCTACCACGTATTTAATCTATGGGAAGCACACCTTTTGACAGGAGTTTATTTAACTCTGACGCAGTGTTAATTCTAATCTTCTCAGCCGCGAACCCCAGCTCTTTCTTCTTTCGGTCATGTCGAGGCACAATAAATCTGGGTTTATATTTTCTGTTTATATTGGACTAATTAACATAAAATAATGTCGAGCTATGCTTGTGAACTTTTTGTTAGATTCTTCTGTGGACCTGTCTGCTATGTGATTTGGTATCAGCCTCCCCAAACCATGCAAAACGATTTCCGATAGCGCCTCTATATACCGGACGGTTTCCGGTTCCGCGAAATCATCTTGTTTACCTACGCTCGTCGGCCAGTCAGTTAAGTTTATGATTTAGTACCTAGCCGGTCTTCAAGCTAATGCAATACGGCTGATTAAACAGCAATAGATATCTTTGCTCTACTTCTGGGCAACTGAATGGCTTACGAATAGCAGCATAAGCGCATTTGGCCAAATTTATTTGTCAATCTCTCGAAAGAACTCTTTGAACATACACAAATTGTTATATTTTGAACTTTCACTTACGAAGAGATCAACTTTTAGAAGTTGAGACGTTCAGTAGCTGAAATGGAAGCGATTTTCATATAAACAAGTCTATCCAACATTACGATTTAGTACTACTTATGCAAAGAGGTTTTAAAGCGGGCATAAACCTTCGGTGCTACCGTAAACGGAAATACAAAGTCTAATATTTTGTGCAGTCTTTATTATTATTATTATTATTTATTTATTTAAAAATATTTGGAACCAAAATCGGCGTGATGTATCTAAGAGTGTAGTTGAGCTAGAGCACTCAGAACCTTGATTTTATAGTTAAAACTAAAGCCGTGACGCCAAAACAAGCTGAATAGTGCAACCGTGTAAAGGTAACACCCTAGAAAATGTTAAGAAATTAACAAAAACGGATCCAGTTTATCCGAAGCACTGCGGTATATTGAGCCTGATAATCGAATTGCGGTCTAATAGAATTTAAGCTAAACAATGGAAAAACGGGTTTGGAAAAAAATAATAAAGTAAATACCACACCTAAAACTCCCAAAATCAAAACTTGATGGTTATTATAGTTAGACATACCTTCGAAGTTATTTTCGTGATACATAAAATCCATAGAGCCGCTATAATAGTTTACGAACAATCATGAAGGTACATAGCTTTATAGCAAAAAACGCAGTCCCCACTTTATAGGCCGTTTTATCTGCTCGCTTTTGGATCGTTATTAAGACAAAAGCAGTTGTGATTTTGTAGGCAGCGTTTGGGGTTCAGAGTAGTATGAATGTATGGAAATAATATCGTAAATCTGCCAGTATAAATAATTCAACTTACATGTGAAGAAACAGCCCACACCAAAAAAATACCTGTTTTTAGCAGATCGTCTTGCTGCTGAGTCACTATAACGGTTAAATTGAACTTGAAGGATTGGGAAATGTATGTTGTGTCGTAGCGTTAGCCGCCGGTGTTGTCTGCAATGGCTGATTACATGTAAATACAACTTCACTTTGTGGATTTATAGGCACGATGAAAGCTTAATTCTCACTACGCGAACGGAACCTTGATCAATAGTAATAGTAATAAACGTAATCCAAAGTCATTTTCATAGCTAGACAATATAAAATACATTATAAATATATGCATATTCCTATCAGTTTTTCTAGTCATTTCGAACTTATCGCCCACCATGCACGAGGCGTTCCGTATCAAGCTCAGATGTCTACATGCGTAATGGTGGTACTTGTACAATATGTGCTAATGGAATTCCTTGGAAGTGTACAATATTAAAAAAATAAGGGTATAATAATTTGAATGTGTCCTGTATTGTTGTTTGTTTTAAGCCAAATATGTGCAATCTATAATTTCTCTGTCAGAACCATCACTACTTTTCTTGTTGACCCAAACTGTTTCCCTTAACCAAATGAACCACCATACGACGCGCGAATCCACGGATATCTTCATGTATATATATATATGAATACCCTATATAAATTCCTCGCTATCAGCGCACAACGAAGGCAGAATTGACAGAAACAACGCGAAAAAAAAGGGATTATCTAAATAGTAATGTTGAACGTCCCACATTTTTCTGTTTTTCATCAGCATCCCGGGTTCTTCTAAAATATAATCAATTCTGGTCACATCCTCGCTAGTTCGTTGTTGTAGTTTTCGTCACTGGCGTATTATTGGCTAGTCAAGGCCGCCGGTAAGCCACCTCCTTTGCTAAGCAAAGTTTGTCAGAGCATCCGATGAAAATCAAGCAGACCACCTGTAGGCCACTTAATACAACTAACACATAAATTCACAAATGAATGCAATAGTAGCTAGCACATAGAAGAATAACTGAAGCTTTTATGTTTTTCTTCTTCCATCGTACCTTGTAAAATTTCTACCGTATTGTATTATGTAATGGAAACATTAAGGATATTGGGAAAAAAATTAGGGCAAATTTCCGAGTTTCAACTCTGGATCTTTAAGAAAAATCAAGCTTTAATAAATTCATACTGTAATGGTTAATGAAATCACGATCATCGTCACGATCAACTGCTTGTTGATACGTAATTCTGTGAGTAACACTTTTTGATGGCCAGCGTTTATATCGGCCCTCCCTGGTGCTAGAGCTCTTAAAAACCAGGATAAACGACAGTTCGTCATCAGTGAAAACTTAATCAAAACCAGTATTAAAAATGTTAAGCACAGGAGGGGTATTAAGAATCATGGAAATCTTTGTCGATGTGCGGTCCGGTTCCTAATAACCACGTTTTCATCGTTTACGTCTATCATACCATCGAAGGTGGGGCCGGGGGAACGAAAAAATAAAGAGGTAAGGAAATAATAACTACTAGATATGCCGAATATTCTGCGATAACGGAAATACAACAACGATTGCTCAGAATCACGTAAATATTCATAAGTATCTCTAAATGAACACAATTTCTAGTCATAATTGAGATTTATATATATATGATCGGCTAATAACTGATGTGTTTAGGCAAACGCCTTTAAAATGCTTATTTCTTCAAAAATAGGATGCTACACTTTTGGTTCTGTGTATTGAATTCTGAAAAGTAAAAACGTTACCCCTGGATGCCTCATTCATTATAATTTAAATGTGCAACTCCTAATCCCATACCGAAGCCAAAAAGTATAATATTTAAGCCGTATGACTGACATGCGTAAGGCCTGCATCAACAGATAACACATTGTGAAATCAATTTGTGCTCAGAACTATCTTCTTTTTTCCCTCTCAGATGAAATGGCTGCGTACATAACACTCAAGTGCTAGAGAAGTAAACTTGTCCTAAATTAGTCACATGTCATTTCGAAAAAATAATATCTAGTATCATACTTTACGGAAGTTGTTCTTAGATTAACATGAAAAAAAAAGTTATCTCATTAAAAACTCTTGACGATTCAGCTAGTAGAAAACGCATCTAGATAGTAAGTAGAAACGAATATTTTTGCAGCAATCTAACGTCCAAACGCGATCTAGTGTTTACTTTTTTTCTTCTATCATTATCTAAGCTCCAAAAAACAAATTAAATAGTGAAAAACCTATCTGGAATATGCTGACGGATACCGCGCAGTAGGATATTCTGCATAGGATCTACAGAATGGTACCTCTGCAACGCCTATATTCACACAATAAGCTTTTTACTCGTTTCCAGAAAAAACGAAGAAAAAAAGATCAACTCAATTTTTCCGAAACCTGTACCTGGGCTAAGTCTCGTGGTCTGCTTGGCTGACGTTATCGCTCCTTTAGCACTCGGGTTAGAAAAATGTTTGTAGCACAGCAAAGCTGAAGATAGTTTAGTTCCCCTAAAGTATAATATGAGACGCTGTATTTGCTGAGAGACTTCTAACATATTAGGAATCAAACCATTTCCTCTGAACTATGTAGGTATGATACCAGCAATAGATTCAACTGGCACATAAGTTCTGGCTGGTACACAATCGTATAAGTTTTGGAATTTTGATAAAATAACTCAAACCTATAAACTTTAACCGGGCAATTTTAATTGCCGATGTTACCGCAATGTTACTCGCTACTTGTTTCATTAAGTATTTTAAATACGTCAACGACATCGCTTGCAATATCAAAGAAATAATATAAAAAATCAAGGCTGTTCCCTGTCATTTGCAGTCGTAACAACTGTATTCGAGAGCTAGAAAGAAATATAGGATTTTTAAGCAGCCTTAATGTCACTTATATATCGTACTGTCATAAAAACACGTGTTTAAATCTTTTTCTGTTGCTACCAATCGTACAATATATATAATATAATCATCAGCAAGCAGAACGACAGACGCCGGTGCCGTTCACAGCCGTTTCAATGTGTCTGTTGAAAAAAAATCATGAGAAATAAAGATGGCGCCACTCGTTTCACCTTTTGCCTCCTGCACTTTATAGCGTAGGACAAATAGAGGAAGGGAACGACAATCCATTAAACTGAGTAGCATTTTTCGCTACAGTCAATGCTATTTAATGAAAAAAAAAAAAAAAAAAAGCACTAATTCAGTGGTGTATGATACTTTTGATTTGTCCTTTCGGTTTTTTTTGTTTGATGGAAACGAGCTAGGCTTAATCCTTCAAGCCGCTTCGAGTACCAGCCGTTTAGGGCATGGTCATGTTTGCGGT